CCTTGGTGGTTGCTCGCTCCCTCTCGCTCGCTCAATGGTGTGTTCGCTCGCTCGCTTCAAATATGGCGACCGATTTGATTGGCTGGCGGTGCGCGTGGGGCGTGTCTGCTCTTTTGCGCGCCGCGCATGGGAATTGGCGCAACGACGCGAACGTCGGCGAATGAGCTTTGAATGCAAAATGAATGCAACAAGTGCGCTTGAAAATGAATCGGAGCGCATTCAATCGAACTCGAATCGCCTTGAATGGCATCGAATCACTTTGAATTACCAGCTGTGCTCAATCAAATTGACCCCAGCCAGCAGTCCCAGAGCTACCCACCAGCCGCTAGCCCCAAGCAGGTCGTTCACAATAAAGGCTAAGAGTAAAGTAAACTTAAGTAACCAACAAAACGCAATACGATATTGCAATTTAGCTGTCAGTTATCTGCTCTCTGGGCCAATTAACTATCGTGTTCTTGTTGCTGTTGCAATTTAGTGCCCCCAAGACTCAACTGAGCCGATGATTTTGCGGTTTTCCCATTGCCCGACTCTCGTGCCCCTCACTCTTTCACACACACACACACGCACACATGTGTGTGTACAGTTGTGTGAGCTGTTCGTTCGTTCGAGTGTGTGTAAACAGCAATTATCTGATAAATACCCCGGCGCTAAAAAATTGATAAATTGCGCATATAAACGTTACGCTATGATTATGCCACGCTACGAGCAGATGGAGGTGGAAGTGGTATAGAGACTGGAATTTGCCCCAGACTCGACTCGACTGCTCAGCAGATCCCAAATCAAGTATTGCACGGTTCCGAATAGAACAGTATAGCCACGCTATATTGCTCAACTGTCACTCAACCCAATTGACAGGCTCTGCAATGGAAAATGAAAACACAGCTGCAAGTGCTAGGGCAACAATCATTGGAAACCTGAGACCCAAGGAGACAGTGCAGACGAGAAGTGCTAATCGAAATTGAGTAGATTCCTAAGAAATATGGAATTTGCCTACGTCTACATTAATAAATAAACAATTTGCCTTATCCCGGAGATGCCGTTCTACTACTTGAATACTTTCAAGACCATTTGAAATGATTAGGAATACTGTAAGGAATGATTAAAGCAAATACCTATAAATAAATAATAATATAAGAATGTATATTGTATATTTGCCTGTTACAATATTTAAAAAATGAAAAAAAAAAAATCAATAAATTTTTATTTGTATATGTATTCTCTTCTCAAAAATTAACAATTGTAATTTTTTATTGATTTTATTTAATTATTAATTAGTATTTTTCTGACAAATGTAATTTTCATAGTCGAGTGGGTAAGGAAGAGGTTTGGTGAATTCTATTTTAATATATCACTTTCGAATTTTATCTTTGACACATTCATAGATACATATTTTTATATTACAGCCATTATCAATCATTGCGACTATGTTTATTTAATTATATTATATATTTGTAAGTCATAATCAATTATAGTCTTGCAGATATTTTATTAACAACATAAAATAAATAATTGTTGTCTTGCATGGATGGTAAATAAATATAAACATATAGAATGGATTGGATGCAGGCATCGTTTTTTTAGTTAATTGTCTGAAAGTGATTGAACTCGCCTTTCACGACGCTAATCGCGTCTAAACAAATCAAAAACTCTTCAATTTCCAGCAGATCGTTTAATAGATCCATCAATCGGAGGTATGAGTGCACCGAACAATCAATCAATACACAGAAAATCTATCAAAGTTGTCTCACGCCCTGGACTCCAGAGCCGTGTTCCATGAGCTATGAGCCATGAGCCACGAGCTGCGAATGGACTGTTGGCTAATTTGTAGCATTGCTATGTTTACGTTTGCAACAAGAGACGCACATCGGATACCCACAACTGGAGCCACAGCATCCATCTGCCAGAGATTAGAAGGCCATGAAACGACGATGATGACGTCGACGACGACGACGATGTCGATGGCAACAGTGCAGGCCGAACTGCGACTGATTTGTTTATTTATATAATTTCAGTCAAGCTCAATTAGAAGCAAATACACACACACTAACACACACACATACATGGTATATTTAAACAATTGTGGTTGCGGCTTTGGTCTCGTGGCGTTGTTTGGTTTTGCTGCTTTTCACTTTATTGATTTAAAAAAATGAAAAATTTATGTTTAAACAAAAATGCGCCATGCAGCCGAAAGCTATTGCCATGGATGAGGACATGGCAGACGAGGCGGATTTGTGGGCGGCGAGAGGGGGCTGTCTGTCCGGGATCCAGACCCTTGGCTGGCGCTGTGGCCATTGGCGCCACCACTTAAAAACAACATGAGCAAGCAGCCAGCAGCGAGCAGCGAACAGCAAACAGCAAGAAGCTTGGCGGACTTCTCGAATGTAAATAAATAAACAAAAAGGCGCGTGCATGCAGAACAAATTGGGGCAACAATTTCTAGCTATTTCTTGGCTCTTGATGGGGCATTCTCGCAATGGCATCGCCGGGCCCCAGTTGCAGAAGCAACGCGGCGGCATAGCTTTTTGATATGCCACGGAAATAAGTTCACATAATCAAAAATGCATTGCCAAATGCCGGCAATGCAACAATACAAATAAATTGCAATCGTTCGTCAACGAAACAAACAAAGGAGTCGCCGCGCCATCAGTGGCGGCCACTGCTGCTGCTGCTGCAGTTGCAGTTGCAGTTTCAGTTTGCTGGTGCTGCTCCTTCTGCTGCTGCAGTTGCAACGGCTGCCGCAATTGTTGCACCTTATTTGGGCAACTGGACGACGGCAGAGGAGGAGCCACTCACTGACCACAGTGGTCATTACAATGCTGCCAGCATCGCTTAAAGTAATAGATAAATACAATTTTGTATTATTCATAAATGAAAAACATAAATTAAAACAAAAATAATTTTACTATTTTTTTATGATTATTATTTAAAAAAAAAAAAAACTAGAAAACGAAAATTTGTAAAAATTCAAAATATAAATTAAAACTATAATTTTAAAATTTTATTAATTAAATAAATTTTTTAAATTATGAGTTAAATAAAATTTTAAAAAATATATAAGTTAAAACTAAAACATTTTCAATATATTTTATTTTCTGATTAGGTTCTTTAAATTTTTGGTAAAATATCAGCATATAGTCTTTTTTGCATATATGTATTTAAGTGATATCTAATCTATCTAATCTAGTTGCACTTGTTATCTAATATATTTACTTAGTATTTATTAAACTAATATTTTACATATACCTTACGAATCTCTTTCTCTCTCTCTCTTTTTCTTCTTCACCCTCTCACACTTTCCTTTGTTCAGCGCTTACTCCTTCTCTAAATGTAAATGTTAAACAATTCTCGTATTTACTTATTTAACATGTGGATATAATTTATATATTTCATATCAATGAAACCAAAATTGATTTTCAAATGCGGATATTTTTAACATTCCTTTATTCTTTTGCTTTTCTGTTCAATTAAAATTTATTTTTTTTTTTGTAACTTGTGAATTTTGGAATCAGTGTGCACCGTTGGCTTTGCCTTTTCTGCGAATTTCAACTGCTGAGCCGCTCAACCGCTCAGCCGCTCAGCTCAGCAGCTTAACTCATAAAAGGAGCACTCAACAATCAAGCATGACGAAATGGCAATGGGAATGGGAATGGCAAGCGGCTTTTGGCTTTTGGCCACAAAGTGCTAGCCAAACTGCAACGCTGGCTGAGCGACTTGGCCAAATATGCAAATGCAGTGCAAAGAGTGAAATAATGCGCTAAAGGAACCAATGGAAGATGTCCACTGTCCACTGTCCTCTGTCCACTGTCCTCTGTCCGCTGTCTTCTGTCCCATGTCCGATCTCGGTTGTCTGTTGTCTGCCGTCTGTTGTCGTCGCAGTTGTCGCTGCGGATTTGCCTTTGTGCTCGGGCCGCAAAAGTCAATTGTGAGGCGAATGCCGCCTGCTGTTGGCTGGGATTAGACAGCTCCTGCTGAGCATCTAAAATTTGACTACTACTTTCACTTTAGCCAGCCTCTCGCCGTTCTCTAAATATTTTGATAGCCCACACCGCCTCCGCTGCCTGTTTATGTGTGACATATAACACAAGTGCCTGCACCGCACTGACGCTGTGTGGTCCCGCCGTATCTACAGATCCCGGCGTAGCATATGCCAGTGAAAGCGTTGCGGGCACTTGAGCGAGCCATTAACCTACCGCAGTTTGTATAAACTAAAAATACACACGCACACAAATTAATACTAATAAAATGCTGGCAAGGCTGATGCTCTGCATTTATTTTTTACTTTTTTATTTTGAGCCAAACTGTTAGGCGATTTACGACTTCCTCGGCATCCTGCGCTGATTTTCCCGAGCCTTTCCAATAGACAGATAGACATCTTGAGTAGGGTCCGAAGCCTTTCAGTCAAATGCGTTGCTTTTAATTGATGTGAAGCCTTAACCTCGCCCTCAGCAAATTAGTCGCCGAACCGAAGGTCAGAGTCGCCAAATAATTTAGCAACAATCCCCAGCCCCAAACAACAAAAGGAACTCTCCTCTAGCTCTCCTGCGACTGCGACTGCGACTGTGACTGTGGCAAACAAAGGCCAGTTGTGCAGATCAGATTAAGTGCTTATAACATGGACATGACTCCATTGACTAACAGGCACCAGCCCAGGCCAGCCAACCGGCCAACCAGACGACAACAGCAGCCACGCCAGCCACTGGGAGCGACAAAAAGCGCTGCCCAAATAGCCGCCGACACATCGATGATGATGACGATGACGACGATGGCAACGGCGACGGCGACGGCGATGATATTGGTACTCGCAGCAACTGCCCACTGTACACTTTTGTCGGCAGCAATTGTTGATGCCCTACAGTCAAAGGAGCCCATTAGTGCAAAGGAATGACTAGAGGCAGTTGGAAATGCAATTAAAGTTGGCTTTAAAGTATAGATCGCAGGAAGGAAGTGAGAGAGGAGAAGGGAGAGTTAGACTCAAAGAGTGAGAAGTAGATAGAGAGAGAGAGACAGAGAGAGTGGGATGGAGAGAGAGAGATAGTGGTAAAGAGGTAGACAAGGAAGGTACCATATAGAGAAATAGAGAAGATAAATATATAAAGCAAAACTAAACAGAATGCTGTAAGAGAGTTAAATAATAATACTAAACTAATTTAATTGAATAATTTAATGTAATTCAATTATTTATGTAAATTTGCAAAATATATGTGTTAATCGAGTATATGTATACACTAGTTTGTTCATATATACAGTATATTCATACATGTATGTACTCCGCGAATTATTTAAAGTCATAACTAAGACCGAATTAAAAAGTAGGCAGAATAGCAAACTGCTTTACAAACTCAAAATTTCCCCAAAACCGAAAAGAGAAGAAAGAAACCCGAAAAGAACAGATGTAAATAAGGGGACCCCGAGCTGATGGTCGTCTAGGGCTCCAGTAAGGGGTTATTTCCGCATAACTTTAAATAAACACAACAATTTGTTATAAACACCAAATAAAAAACTAATTAATAATAAAAACTAATGTGGACTTAAAGAATACATAAATAAATATTATTTTGCTTATTTATTATTTTAAACTGAAATATATTGAAAGCTTACAACAATAATGAGATTACTCTGTTGGATTAGAAGCAGAGTCCGCTAACATATCAATAATATATTATTAAATATTCACATATTAAAGACACTCACTGTTGATTCTCTATAAAAACATAAATTCGATGATCATATACATGTTAAAGACTTCCACTAATTCATATAAAAATGTAGCGCATTACAAAAGTCTGGTTAGCACAATCAAGGCAACTCGGCTGCATCTTTACAGATTTGCTGAGAGCAAAAAAAAAAAAAAAATCTTAAGCTTGCCTCAATTGGCGGCATTAAACGAGACCAAAATCGAACTTAGCTGCTTCCAAGTTTAGCCCCAGCTCCAAGTGAAGCTGAAGCTGAAGCTGAAGCTTTGTCTCCACATGATGCCTGCCCACTCTGGCACATTTTGGCCATTGTTCTCATCGCAGCGGAGGCAGGCCAGGCAAATACTGGTAGTTGTTGCTTCAGAAATGTAGCAAATGCTGTTGTTGCTGTACAAAAATGTCAATATTCTGATTCCACGAAAAGCCAAATGCATCGCTGCCCAACTGATGTCCACATCGATGTCGATGGAGCTACGTATGTGTGTGTGTGTGTGTGTGCGTCGGCTGTTGACCAAAAGTCGCAATTCGCGACATCCACAGTCCATCTCCAGCTCCCTGTCGGATCCTGCGTAATTCAGTTGCAGCGCATTGCAGATGGCAGTTGCAATGCCCCAGCAAATGGCAAAATGGCGAACATCACTCGAGCCAGACTCAATCTCGCCTGGGCACAAAGCAAACGTTCCGCCCGTCGGCGGCAGATCAAAAAGGCAATGGCAATGGCTCACAGTTCAATAGGCTTTGTGTCGGGAGTGTAAGAGCAAGAGTAAGTTGGCAAGCGGCTATAATGCGCTTGGATATGCAAAATTGCATTGAAATTTGAATTCAATTCAAAAGGCCGTTCGTTGGCCAGCAGGCGCAGGGGCGGACGCGGGGCACGGTGCGATCGGGCAACTCTGTTGGATTGGTCGAGTTGATTGCGCGCCGGTTGCCAATTTGAAAGAAATCAAAAACTCAGCCGCCAAGCTAACCCACATGCGACTGCTGCTGCTGCTGCTGCTGCTGCTGCCGCTGCCTGTTGCTGCTTGCTGGCCGACGCTGTTGTTGCCTCTTGCAAATTACGCAACTGGCAAAGATCAGCTCTTGTTTTTGGCCACATTGTTACAAGGCGCAAGGAGTTTACAGCTGCCGCCAGTTGCCCCGTTGAACGCTGCCCCGTTGCAAGTTGCAAGTTGCAATTGCCGGTAGCAACTTTGGCTCTGGATTTGCATGCCAACAGCGGCGTGCATTGCGCTCCGGCAGTGGCAAAAAATGAGCCTCTTAATAGCCGCCGACAGTTACAAAGTGCCTGGCAATTGTGGCAAATGCCAAAGAGCCGTGCTCTCACCCAGCAGCAACAGCGACAACAACAACAACAGTCTCCCAAGCACATGGGCGTGTTGCTCGGGGGCGTCTGGACCGCTCACATTTGGCTTTCAATTTGCAATCGCGCTGGCTACACCTCTGGGCGTTGCAACAGCATCCGACTTATCTGCCAGCAGCTGCCATCTGTGCGCCAACATTTGGCGAATTCATAATTGCAGCAAGTAGTCAGCGAGTCGTCCAGTTCCACATCCACTTGGAGCTTGGAGTTGCAGTTCCAGTGGCAGTTGTAGCTGCTAAAAGATATGGAAACACCTCTTGCAAACTATCCACCATTTGTTATCCATATCCAAAACCTATTGAGCTGTGCCTTTCGATAATTGTGATTGTGCTAATTGACAAACGATAATGTCTTAAGGGCGTTTAGCCAAACGGAAAGTCACTAAATCTATACAAATGGAGATTGCCAAACGAAAACGAAATAAATCATCAATGAATGCAAATTCGAAATTTAGACTTTATGGATCAAATCGAGATGATATATTTCTATGAACGAAATTCATGGAGGTCGCCTGAGGAAAGAAAATGTGTAATTTCCGATAGTTTAGGTTTTGATGTGACTTATTTTCAGTATATTGATTAGGGTTAAATTTTTCAAATTAAAATATTAATAAAAAGTCATTTAAAGTCTAACTTTGACTCCGTATTATTATTAATATTTCAAGAACTTTAATTCGTTTGCCATGCATATGAATCGAAGCCCAAGAACTTATTAGTTTACTGAAGGAAATGACTTAAGATATTAAGATAATCATATTTTACGTATTTAGCACGCATTTATGTTTAAGTTAAGTTTTTTGATAGCCACGTGGATAGAGAAAAATGTATAAATGCTAAGAAAGTTAAGCAAAAATCTATTCTAAATGCTAAGCAGAGAACTCTTATAGAGAGATCAAGAGCGTCTAGTTTACAGTCAAACTAGTCGCCTTAATCTCTCTCTAATAGTTTCATGCTTATTATTGGGAATGTATTTGGGACAAAATGTTGATTTACCCATTTTTATTTGGTTAAAACGACATTCCGTCCCAATGATTAGGTTGCTTTTAGCTAATTTAGTTTTAATGAAGTAGGGTATAATTTTATGCAAACATAAAAAGAGTTTGCATAAAATGTTACCCTATATAATTATGAATAAAATTACTAGAAAGTAATAAAACTAAAACGTAAAATGAACCTGTTGATGCAGAACTATGAATAAAATTAGTCAAAAAAGTAATAAACTTTAAAAAATGTTTATTGATCAAATTTGTATATTTTTGTAACTTTAAAACGAGATAATTTTAACAGAGCTTTAATATTCTCCAACTCTTATTGTAAGAATACGGTGGTATAAACAAACCTTATTCTCAATTTTTCTGAATATTATGTAATCCATTCATTTATAATATAATGTAAAATATAAAAACTAATAAATAAAATTTGCTAATTATGTAGTAGTTCTCACTAAAAATCATTTTTTCTTTATTAAATAATAATGTCCTTCCAACTCAAGTATATACATAGAGGACTATCACACCAATTGCCATTCTATGCATCAATCTCTTACTCGATATGTCGCTGTATTGATTTTATACCAATCCCAACCTTTCTCCGATCACCATCGTAATGAATATACATCTTTACAGCTTTATAAATATTATTACATAGAAATTTAGTACATAGAGATTTTCGGACATCCATCCTCTAAATATATTCAATGAGTCCAACATCCGATACATTTGGAATAATGATTCGGGCATTGGGAAAACTTCTTTGCGCAGGATAGAGGCTGAGAAATGATAGAGGGAATTTGGCAGCGCTGTCATGCTGTGACGGCAAGGACTTTGGGGCATGGCACATTCAGTTGAGGCTAACGCAATTGAGCCATGTATTTGTTGGCGCATTAACAGGATAGAGACCCCTTTCGAGTCGGCTAAGATGTGGAGGGCGTGGTTGGGGCGGCGGGTGGCATTGGTAATGGTCATGGGTGGGGCAAACAAACAAATCTTGGCTGTCACAGGGCCTGAGTTGCGGCATTCAATTGTGAAATGAATGCGGATCTCCCACGGCAGTCGACTACGTGTTGCAGGATATGAAACATATCTCCGGTTAGCAGGCAGGACATTTCCTGTGCCAGCCGGTGGCCATATACACACAGCTGTCATAAATCGCATGTATGAGTCGCTGTTGGGATTTTGCGGCAGGATATTGCCAAAAGGATGCGCTGCCATTACCTCCGCCTCACCCTCTCACTCCCTCTCGCTCACAGTCTCTCAGTGCACGCTCATCCGTATAATGTTTTGATGGGCATTTGAATGTAGGCGCATGTCATTTGGCTTGGACAAAAGCCTTGAGTGCCAGCCGATCCGTGCCCATACCTCATCCCAGCCATCCGTATTGATGGCGAACATTTCAATTGAGTGCCCAATGAGACACCTGACACTTAAGCGCCAGCAACTGGATGAAGGCGTTCGCCTGACAAATGAGACAAAGTGACACAAGTCAATCAAAGCGTCCAAAACGCGCGTCACTTATAAATTCCATTGCTGCTGCCGCTGTTGCTGCTGCAGCTTCCAACCAATTTACTGCCCATGCCCACCAAAAAAGAATACACAAAATGCCCAACGACCTGGCCCCTTGGGGCAGAAATATATTTAAATCAATTCCGTCAGCACGCAGAGAAGCGAGCAGCCAGGCGATGAGCCGCAGGCCAAAGCTAAAGTCTACCCAACGTGATGGACGCATTTAAAATGTCAATACGCATTGACTTCAGGCTCGGACGACGATGGATTCCACGAGGCGGACAATGTGGCTATGTGGCCCGAGACGGACTCTAACTCCGAGACAGCGGCTGAGATAGCGACTGCGGCGCGTAAGCTTGAAGTCATTCAAGTGGCGGAGACAATGAATCCTGTCAAATCAAAGTACCAACAAAGGCAACGTAAGGCGTGCGAGAAACGCAACATGAAATGGAAAGCGGAGAACAGGCGGACAGACAAACGGGCGGACAGCCGTAAAGGGCAAAGGCAAAGCTCGGGCAACCACTCGCGATGCCCAAATCCATTAGAGTTAAATAAATTTTGTTTTTGAATTCAATTTACGTGTTGCGAGTTAACTAGACAGAAATACCACTTGGCTCCAGAGAGGGTAGCTTGAGAAATTACATTTTACGGTCTTTAAAATTATGATAATGTTACAGATAAAGGAGAAATCATCCTATGTATGAAATTTATATATTTTAAATCAAATATTTGATTCAAATCTATTCGAAATATCGACTTAAACTGTTTCTGTGATATTGACGACTCAGGATGTTGTGTCCTGTTCGTTACATAAAAGTTGTATCATAAAATTAAATAAATAAATAAAAAAAAGTAAATAACAACGACATCGATCACTAAGGATATTCAACTAAGATCTACCATGGGATTCATTGCAGTTCACTTGGGGCTAGTCAGAATCAAGCAACAGCGAAAAATAATTTCTGGTTCATTTCAATAAGCAATGAAATTGTTCATGCACTGGCGATGCAGCGAACTATCATAATCAATTACAGCTTTGATTCACGACTCAAGAAATCAGTTTATAGAAACTGTCATGAAAGATTTGACTTAGACAATTATTGAATTGCTCAATATCACAATAGCTTACAATAGCAATTTACATTCAGTTTTAATATAAAGAGCTGAGATATGAGGATAAAGAAATATTTCATATTGATTGAATAGCTGATTAGAAATTAAAGATCATAATCATTATACTGATTTGCAAATATATCAATGGATTGTTGATGAATACTCTAATATAAATCTAAATATTTAAAATATATGAATTGATTTTGTTGTTGTAATAAATGATCAATTTCAGTAAAAGTCTTTATTATTCGCTCAGTTCAATTATAGATGTAACGGATGGACATAGATTAGATCCCAATTAGAGATGATCTTACAATCCAAGTAAAAGATATTTCTAACTAAAGAGTTGGCCAAAACGAACCGCCCATACGATCAACTTATTTAACTGCGCACCAGATCCACATTGTAAGTTTTAGCCATGATAGATATATCTGTCCCGTAGGTGCAACCAAATTTTTTGATTGATCCATTGAGTAACCCTCGTCAGGTATTCGATGCCGGACACATAATTTTGCAGCTCAGCGCTTCAAAAGCTCATGCCGTCCCCAGCTCCTAACTGGCAGCTCGGCAACCCCCAATCCTTGGTCCACAGGCCGCGCTCTGCGCCATCCGCTGCAGGGGCGCAGGCAGGCAACGAGCCGGCGACAAGTGATGAGTGAATGCAAAGAATTTGAATATTGTGCCGCGGCGGCAGTTGACATAAATCGTCAATGACAGCGACATCGCCTCCTTTTGGGCCTTAAACACGCAACGAGGGCGCTGACGGGCGAGCTGGCTCAGCTCAGCTGGGCAAAAAGGCCGACAATCAACGTGCTGGCCGCAGAACACGACAGACAACTGTAATCCGCTATTGTGATTGTGTACGGTCGGGGGCACAGGCAGAGGCAGAGCTACAGGATCAGGAGCCGGCCAGCAATGGAGGGGTTTATCCCTGTTCGCTCGCTTGACCTGTCAGCGAGCTTCTCAAAATCAATTCTAATCGATTTAGGACATTTTGACAGCACTTATTGGCAGCATTCGCGTGGCCGTGATACTAACAACACCTTCCAAAATTGCTGGCTAAGCGGCCAGCGACGTCGTCGTCGACCCGGTAAATGTCAACAGCATTTTGGCTTAAATAGCCGCAAGCCAAAAGTGGAAAAGGCAAAACAAAAACAAACAAAAAGACCAAAAAACGAGAACAAGGCAGCATTATCATTATCTGAGTGGAAGCTGATTGAAAACAGATAATTAAAATCTTCTAATTAGCGGCATGTTCACGCACACACACACACACATATATACACACAGGGGTACATATACAACGTGTCGTCTGTGTGTGCGTGTGTGTTACCTTAACCACTGTCGGCTGTCAGCGAAAACAAGTTCATAAATCTTGCGCCCAACAAATCGTTTTGCAACATGAAAGAACATTACATACATATAAGAGGAAGCCACAGCAGCCTGCAACAGCGACAACAAAAGACTCAAGGAGCAAAAACTGTCCACTTCATTTAGTGTACAGGTGTGCGTGTGTGTGTGTGCCTGGGCTGCCGAAACATGTGAAAGGCTTTGTATGAGAGCTCCCCTGGCTTTGGTTTTGTTTTTTGCCAAAACGTTTAATAAACAAGATTCCCATGTCGATTATCACAAATTAGTCACATTAATTATAAGTGAAGGCAAGGATGCCAGATTCTATCTCATTTAAGAACCAAAAACTGGAAGCAGTCAAAGGATATCTACATTTGGTAAAGGAAACCAAGTCGAATCCGACTGGAACTGTAAATGGACATTAACCACGTGCCAAGAAGTATTCGTTGCATCTCTATAAAATTATAGCTCATTAGCTAAACAAACTATGAATGAAAGCATAGAACTCGTTTCGCTAAAAACATCTTTCAAATACAAGAGTTTTTAGTTCCGGCTCTAGAAGTTCAACTCTTAAAGATTAATCACTTTGATAAAGATTTGAAAGATGTATTAAGTGACAAAATGGTCTGTCCCAACCTTAAATCTCTTTAAGCAGGTAAACGCGTGGAGAGAATATCGATAGATGCTAATTAATTTCATTTTAAATGGCATCTTACAGAAGACTTTAGAAAATAGAATTATGTACCGTAATTTAGAATTATGCTAAAGCCATATTTAGATTTTACAAATATGTATAATAACGTAGATGCCCCATGTAGATGTCCAATTTAAGAAAGCTACACTCTCTTTGTTTGAAGAAATTAAAAGAATGACCTACCACTATTTACAGTGGATCAGAAAATACGTGCCGAAAGTGCCTACTCTACTTAATCCAATAGGATTGACTACAGTTGCCTAAGCAAAAAAAAGAATTAATTCAATTTAAACAATTCCATTGCATACTTTTCAGCGGATAGAATAATAATGTCCTCAAGTATATATCGTATGTATAACAGCTAATAGCTGATCTAAAATATGTACACTCAAAATACCATTGTTGGTAAAGTGGTGCATACTTTAAACAGCTCAGCTGATTCATTTATAACAGTACTACAGAATCATTTAGCACACATTTAAAATGCAACTTTAAACTTTAAGTTAACATTCATCAAACTGATGATTATTCCCCAGCATCAACAAACGATATTGTTCAAATCTCATATAAAATAATCCAAATAGCATATCAATAAATATAAATGACCTTAAGTTTATGTGCCTACATTAAATGTGCTAATTGAAACGGCTTAGCATACTTTTAAGCGGACAGGAATTGTTTACATTGAGCTTAGCATAGCTAAGAACCTATACGGTCGAGTATGGAGGTTCGATGTTGATGCTTAGCAAAGCCAAAAACCAAAGCAGTCGAATATCAAAGTATGTTCGGGCTTAGCAGAATAAAGAACCAATGCTGTCGATGATTCATGTTCGATGCTTTTGCAGACAATTCGTATTGAAATTTTCGAGTTGGCAACAAAAGTGATATATTTCTATTAAAAATATACTACATTTAACAGATTATGAATTTGATTTTCAAGAGGTTTAGACAAAGTATTGGTAGTGAATTATTATTGCTTACTTCAAATTGATTATCACGCTTCCATTTGCCTAGTTTTACGTTGACTAGGAGTAATATCAGAGTGCAGAATGGCTCTTTGACCAGCCTTTCTCTTCTACAAGAATTATAGTTCATATTTTTATACTCATCGAAAATTAAAATACATATTAGGCTTGATTTATTATAGTATCATAAAACTCATGTCATGTACAACAACTTAAAATATATGGCGATATCATAGTCATTCAAATAACTCACTCTCAATCTTATAAGCAAAAATACCGAAGTCAGCATCAATTTGTGATACAATCTCAATTAATTCAATTCCGTTTGGCTACTAGGCCTTGCGCTCGAAGAGCACAGGGAATGGCTTGTCCTGCGGCGCCTGCAGCCAGTTGTCCTCGGAATACTTCACATTGTTTTCAGTCTCAATCACATGAAAGGTGTAGGCGTGGCGGCTCTTCTGGGAGCGATTCGGCTCACTCTTGTGCACCACATTGCCGTGGATGACGATGCAGGTGCCTGTCAAGGAATGACAACAGGTTAAACTGGTATTGCGGAACTGGCCGCAGCTTCAGCTACTCACCTTTGCTCACTTGGAGCGGCGTGAAGCTCGACTGGGGATAGATGGGCGAAGCGCGATCGTAGACCATCAGCTCCGAGGCGTTCGTGTCGGGATTGCGCACGTAGCGACGGTGCACTCCGCTCTTGTGCGAGCCCTTGATGAACTGCAGGCAGCCGTTCTGCAGGGTGCAGTCCTCTAGAGCGAACCAGAAGCCCACCGCCGAGTTGGGCTCTGTGTGCAGGAACCAGGAGTCCTGGTGTGGTGTCACCTCGCCGCCAATGCCGGAATTCTTGTAGATGTACATGCTCTGGCAGACGGCCGGCCTATTGAAGTTCAGCTGCCAGCAGATCTCCTTAACACGGTTGCTGAAGGTCAACGCGTTGAAGGTCGGATGCTCCACATGCAGCGCATGGCCCACCTTGTTCAATGCGATCATCGGATCTACAACCAGCTGACCCTCATCTCCAATGGCGCCCTGCTCGAAGAAGTAGCGTACCTTGTCGCCCGACTCCAAGAAATACAGCTCCTTGCTGTGCGCATCCTCCGCCTTGACGGTGCTGAAGATCTTCCGATTCGACTGTGGCGCATCCAGGCACAGAGCCCGCCCCGCCTGATACAGTGTCTCCACCTCCTCGGGCTTCAGGAAGTCCTCTATGACAACGTAGCCATTCTCGTTAAACTGCCAATGGAAAGCATAATTCAGTTGTAGTTGCTAGAAACACTTGAAGCAACTACAAAAAAGCGGGTGAAGGTCCGATTCGATTCATAAAGTTCTGTGCTATGTGACGCTTATCTCTGCGCCGTCTGGTCTGTGTCTGGCTTCACACTCCCGCACACAAGCACACACACACACAAGCACATACAGACGCACATTATCAGACTGACCGACTATATGTAATGGGCACACGCGCGCAGTGCAGTTATTCCCCCTATCTCCCCCGGGGATAAGCAGAGCTAGCCTTCAGTTCGTTTCCTTTTGTATTCCACTGTCAGCTGTGGCACCTGCTAATTAACAAATTTCTAGGCATGCCAATGTGGTCACAGCATTTGACATGCAAAAAGCGAAATTCGTGCCCATTCACTGAAATCACTCAATGTGAAATTGAAATTGAATTGAAAATTCACACATTCTTAGGGTACGCTCGTTCTATCAACTGGATGGGTATTTACACTTTGTTGTGCAACATGCAACACATTCTAGAGTGTTTATGCAAAGGGTATTCAATATTCGACTTTGTCACACAAATTCTGTTCTATTGTGGGCGCTCTCTTAGTGTCATGGTATAAAAAAGTATATTTGAAAATGCTTTGAGCAAGCAGATGAAAAGCAAGAGTATAAATAGTCGCAGTGATTCAAAGACACCAACACACCTGCACTGATCATTGGAGGAGATCCGTCGCCCCACCTTTTGACGAATACGCCAACGAAATTCACTAAAATAAAATGCGCGTGCAAGTGTCAAGGAAATGGGAATTGGAAACTAGGAGACTGGCAAATGGGAGGATGGATGACTTATGCCCAGACAAGTGCCCAGCTCGTGGAAAATTACTGCCCGAGAGGTCAGCCAATTGGCTTGAGAGTGTGTTATGACAAGCTTGGGCAGCAGCTGATTCCGTAATCGACTGCAGTTTGTTTGCTCGGGCATGTGCAATTCAGCTAAATTGACAGGGGGTCGTCACGGAGCGCTGCTGGCTATTAAGTCAGCGTTTGTTGAACTAGAACTTGCACAAGTCCGCGACTGTTGCTGTGTCGTAAGGCGCTTGCATAATCGCAGCTGAGAACGCGTTGAGTTACACTCGAGCAGAGCCCAGAACTCAGTGCGTTCCAGTTGAGTTCTAATGGGCATGAATATGCATGAATGTTCAGGCCATTTGGAGCTGGGCTAACCAGTTGATCGGGCATTATAATTTGCTGCCATTTGGACAAGGCTGACCACACATGCCTCGAGAACTGACCCGAATAAATATGCGTCTGGCTGGAGAATGAATTTTGAACAGCGCTAAAACATTTCCTCAATTGGCCATCGCAGTCTATGTTCCCGGGCAATATACGAATGCTTCTCCGCAGTTGGCTTTCTGCGAATCACACCAAAAGGCGACGCATTGGCTGCCAATGTTTATGATGCTGATGAATGTAAATAGATTCATGGCAGCAAGGCGGGCACAGAAGATCGGTGGGAGGGCCATTGATGACTAAGAAATGAAAACTAAGAGCGTAATCTCACTTGGGCTCCCACCGAGTCCATCGATAAGTAATTGGCCACAAATCATTTGCCAACAAAAATAGAAACAAAAGCCGGCAAAAAGAAGGAAGCTTGCGCGATCTCATAGAAAATACCTAAAGACTGATGATGAATAGGCATCCATTTGTATGTACATACCTCATCCAAAAGTTTGCTGTGCATTGTGCTTCAGTTTGTGTTGCTTGTTGTGTATTTTGTTGCTTTTGGAATTAATCAACAAATTGTATTTCGGTTTTCTTGTTTTCTTTCTTCGCCCAAATATCGCCGTACACTTCTCTGTTGAGGCGTTTCTCCACAGTTGGACAGCGAACGTTTTGCTCTGTTTCGCGTACGTTTCAAAACTGTTTTGCCTTTTTCAAAACAGTATCTGAAGCACCCACCAGGCAGAACACTCGGGCAGTCGAATAGTCGAACACTCGAATGCTCGAATACTCGAACACTCGGCCTGATATGCGCTTCCCACACGACGCGTCGGCTGCTGAACAGTTCTATAGACACACACACACATGCACACATATGTGTATTCTTAGCATATGCTCTCGATCGTTGCTCACTCACACTCTTTCGCTCTCTCTGTCACACTCTCTGTTTCTTCCTCCCTTTCTCGCTGTTACTATGGGTCTCCGCCTCTGTAAGCAGTGATGCCAGTTCAGCGATTTCTCGTTTGATTTAGCCTTTTTTGATTGTTGCCAGCTATTCTTTTATATCAACATCATATTTTCTATTAGTTTATGAATCGTACTACATCTTTAAGTAATTGTGTAAGTAAATACATATGTGACTTTTCATAATTTACAATATTATAATATTACTTTGCTCCGTTTATTTGTATATTGTTATAATATTCAAATTATTTTCTATAATATTTTTAAAGCCTAATGATGATAGGTTATTTTAACTACACATAAATATATTAATTGTAGCAAAAAATGCCCTAAATATGCATTTGGAATAAAATTTTTAGTTTTTCAATGTAGAGTATTTGTTATGAATAATTCTGTTTTTTTAATTTTAGCAAAAAAAAAAATAATAATAATAATAATAAATAAATAAATAAAATAAAAATATTTAATATGAGGCCAGTTTGAATTAAACTCAGATTAATTTACATAAATAATGCATAGATTAAATTAATATGAAATATAATCTTCGGGTGACATATTCCTCTGAACTGCTGTACTTTATTGATAACAAAATGACATATTTTACAATATAAAATCGTGTCTTATCTACTAAGTCTGTACATGTATATACTGGAAAACAAAGTAAATAGAGCCGGAAATGCCGGAGAGCAACCAAATTATAGGCCTCAATAAATTTAATATGCATAAATGTATATATAAGACGTTTTATATCATTTGATTTTTATTGATGTTATGTAAGTATAAATAAATTTAAGTAAAAAAACACTACATTGAAAAAATTAAAATATTACTGATTGCGCTATCCTCGATGACCAATTTTTAACAATATTATTTGTAGCTTAAAGTTTTCTAAAGGAGAAAGGCTTTAAAATAAAAAATATAGAAACATGTTAGGACTTTAGTGCGAATAATATAAAGAATATAAAATATAAACTGATTGCTAAAAAGGTTGACTATCTACGTATACTTTCAAGCTATTTTGGCTTCTCCGGATCGCCATCACTGCATATACGTTAGTATAGCTCATCTCTGTTAAGGTCTAGTTTGAGCTTGTAAGCTACACAAAATTCTAGTTGATTGTCACTTACGGTCATTATCTCGTTATGCAGTAATATCTTTGAATTATTTTACATTAATTTCACTTTAGCTCGACAATCCCAAAATTTTCCAGTTGTATCCGAAATTTCCACAAATATGCAACAGTTGCGTCTCACGTGCAATCCGTGTGTTCATTCAGGGGACCGCTGAGCATGCATGCTAATGCGCAGCGTCTTTTTTTTACAACTTGATGTCGTCATATGGCAGTTAATTGCTGTCTATGCGTGGGTCGCCGTTCGCCGAGAAACAGTCGCTGTTGCAACTGCGATTTCCTCATCCAAAATTTACTGCAAAATATGCGAAAACTATTGTTAAGCTGCGGCATTTATCTGCCTGAATATGTTTATATAATTTGCAGGTAAAAGAGCGCAATTAAAAAAGCGAATTATAAGCCGAGTCGTGCGAACAATAGGTGCTAAATATGTGCTTAAATCCATATTTATTTTAGCATTTGTTTAATGCCATTGACTAGGCACACATTCTTAGCTCAAGTCGGCCGAAACCTCTGAATGTCATAAAAAGTCGCATTGGAAATGCATGCAAAATGGTAAATTGTAAATTTATGCGAGGCGGCGAAAACTAATGGCATGTGGCTAATAATGTGGCACTCTGGCCCGGCCCGGCCTGGGCTGGCTTAGCCTGGCTCAAATGCACTTACTTATGCTTGTATGCTGGTGTGTGTACAGTTAGTATTACTACTTTACAGAAGATTAATTACACTAGCTCTGGCCATAAATAAGGCAAACAAGCAACTGTCCGCCAGCATGCAGTCTAGAGTCAAGAGTGTCTTGGCATTATTTGCAAATGTATGGTAGTAAAAATTTAAATTAGAAATCATTGCGGCCGCCGGGTAGCCATTCAATTTGATCAGCCGCGGCAGTGGCAACAGCTCCTACATACATAATGACCGTGTTAGCTGTGGTGCCCTTGAATTGCAGATGACGACGGTGGCACCTGAACAATCAAGTCATAAACAATGTGCAGCCGAAAGGTCTCAAGAGGCCAATAGACGCCCCTCTGACGCGCTTGCGAATACGCCGACAACAAACCACAACAACAGAGACAACAACAACAACAACAACAAAGAGATGATCAGCCCAAGGTCAGAGAGGTTTTTTTCGGGTTCTTCAGTGAAAGAGAGCTGAGAGCCCCAGCAAAGCCAAGCTCTTTTGTGCGGCTAATTAAGTTAATTAAAAATTAAAGACACGCGATTTGCTTGACTAACAACAATTTGATAATATTCCAAATTTTGTTTGTTTGTCTTTTTTTCAGCAAAAATTTGAATTTTGTTTTGCTGCTGCTGTGCTGCTAATGATGATGGCTCCAGCTCCTGGACTGATTAGAAAATGTTGAGTCATCGCAGTCATCAAATTTAATCTGCTGCCTTTCCAATTTGTAATACCCTGTACAATGGATGCATTGTATATATGTGTATAGCTTATGTAGCTTATGCAAATACTTTGCACATATTAGAGCAAAAATATAAAACTTTATATAGCCATATTATATAAAATAAAAATATTATTAAGACAGTCAAAATCACAAAACAAATCGTTTTTGACTCCATGCAAACTTTTCTCACTGCTTCTCTGCTTTGATGTTCCATTTGTATCTGGATTTCCAAGTTTTGATTTTTTTTTAGTATTTGCAACATTTTCATAACAATAATTTAATTAATTAATTTACAAAAATCATTAAAACAAATTCATTAGTGAAGCCATAAATTCATGTGTTATGTGGGTCATTTCATTATTGATAAATTATTTGCAATATATGTTATCTGGATGTTTGGATGCAAGATATATGCACCTTATTGAACTAAAGATAAAATAGAAAAAATCAATTGGAAATGATATTCCAAAAAAAGTTCGGGTTTAATATTTTTATAAAGAACAAATACACAATAAATTCCGATATAAAAATAAGCAAATTATGATATACATATATATATATATATATATATATATATATATATATATATATATATATATATATACGTATATATATTTTTATGATATATATATTCAAATAAATAGAGGGTAACTGCTAGTCAAACACTTTGAGCCAAAGCGATGCGAAGCGTTGAACTGATATGTGTATATGAGCGTGTTTTTGATTACTTTTTACCATTTTGATTAGTGATATTTTTTTATAGACGCGCCCCCTCCGGATTTGTGCAATTCGCTTGACCTTAGCTCGCTGAATGTGTGAGCTGTTTGCCAACTAGCTCGAACACCGTTTCGAAAGTAACAATTTAACTGCAGCGGCGTCCCACGCGATGCCAGCCCGATGTCCATACGCACCAACAGGTGTGAGTGGAGTGCAAGAGGTGTGAGCGAAAGGAAGGAGCTTGCACTCGCAGCTGAACTAGACCAGGAAAAGGAAATGAAACGTAAATATCATTGATCTGCTTGTAAAGTTTATAAGTTTATCAGTGTTAAATGTAAAATATATATACTTAGACAAGCATCGAGATACAGCTCGCTTAGAAAGATCTAGTCTGTTCCAATTATTCTGGTTTTAGTTTAAATTTGAATACAAAGTTTCTGTTTAGTGCCCTGGAAAAAACATATAGTGCAAAGATTGAAACAAGTTCTTGAAATTGATATATTTATGTATGTATATTATTGTGGCTTATGTAGTCTAGGTAATCTCTGCAGCTTCCGCATTTTAAATATACATAGTCGGAGCATTTAACAATAAGCATTTGAACAATAGTAATATTATGATTGAAATTAAGATTAAAACATTTCTGAAACCATATAGAAAAATTAACATATTTCGGAGTTTCCATGGAATCGCATTGTTGTTCTCAGCTGGACGTTAATCTTTCCTATGTCTAACTACATTTTCTGTTAGAGTCTTCAATCGACAGTTCCTGTGCTTGTAGATAATCCGCAGTGTTTGAACTAAATGATTTATGCTACTATTGTTCATTTATTTACCCGTCAAGCGGCTGAAGATATTATAATTGCCAGGGACATAAATATATGAATATATGCGTGAAGGGCATTACTGTGGTCATTATTAATACATATATTACACGAAAAGCACAGCGACAATCGAAATTGGAAGAACAAAGGGTAATTACGTGCGGTCTGAGCTGCTTTTATCCAAGATCTAAAATCTCTGGCTTTTTTTGTTATCGAATCAATCCACTCAGAGCGACATATTTGAATTTGCATGCGAAGATGCTTGGACAATAAATCTAATGGCACGCTGTCAGCGAGGTATAAAAATACACATATATATAAACTGTATATATACATATAGTTATTTGCGAAAGTGCCCCGACCAGACTAGGCCAGGCGAGACCCAGGCCGGCTTGACGTAGCTTCAGCCGAGCTGGCAACTGGGGAGCCAAATGTGGAAGCTTTACGTCTTAATTTTGAATGTTAATTGCTGCTGGGGCTGTTAGTTGGTCATCGCTCGCTTGAACTTCAATGTCAGTGAAGAAATTCAAAACTAATTTGTCGGCGATTCAAATTATGGTATACATGCTCATGGGAGAAGGCACGCATTGGACGCACTAGTTGCCTCTACGGCCAGATAATAGGAGTCGCTCACGCAACGTAAAACCCGTTAAATTGGCGCATGGCTTTCGGCCGAAATGTTGATTACGAAAAAGCATTTCATCAAGCAAATTATGATCTCCTCAATCAAACTTCAAGTGAAACAAGAAAAGTAACTAACTTATGATTTACGATCACTTTCTACAACATTTTAATGAAATCTTTCCCCATGCTCCCTTGTTGCGGTGGGGGACCGACCGAGGTGAAGGAGGTGCTAAAGCTTTCTAACTCTGATCATAATTGTAGATTAAAGAAGACATCCATAAATTATGAACACAGCGTGAATAATTGACTCTGTCAAAAGTGATGTGCGCCGAGTCGAACGAGAAATAAATAAATATATTTAAGATTTGAATAAATATTGATGTCTTAAGCAGGATGCTCATCACCTTTTACTCCCTCAGTGAAGAGAGTACATTGGTTTAGCTGTAGAAAATGCGTAACTACCTTCGCCCTATATAATATGCAAACAATTTTTTAAAATTATATATTCTTCCTCGTTATGTACTACCTACTACCTTTGGCCATCTTTCGGGGAAGAGGTTGCTTACAGAAAGCTAGTGCAGGAGCTTTTTGACATCCTGATTTGAGGTGAAGGTTATCAGTCCGAAGGTGTCAAACCTGAAGAATATGGTAGGTGTGATAGCACTTCCCATTCCAAGATATGTTAAAGGTAAAATATCCCTCACCCTGTGCTCGATCCCTAACTTTACCCGCAATAAGTAACAATAGATTGCTCTAATAAAAGCATTCTGAACAGGAAATGGAAATTAAACATTTTTAGCTATTATTGGTTTTTCTTCGACTTGTAAGTATTAAATTCGTTTGTAAATGGAGAATATCAAGTTCATATAGGGGCGCAAGAAATCATAAATTTATAGCTTGAATCAAAAAAGTATAGCAAAGTATAGTATATTAACGAGAACTATAATAATATGTAAATCTATATATTTATGAGTCTGTTTTTCTGACGTGCCAAATCGAAAAAGATTTAATCGTGGACACACTTAGAGACAGAATCGTAGCCTTTTACAATTTGAAAATCGCTCACCTGCTTGACAGCGAAACCTGTTAATACACACAGGTGATTCCTCTATACGCATCGATTTGTGTGAACGTTTATTAGGCTGTCTTTCACTTCTTTACTAATATATGAAGCATGGTACGTCAAACAGACAGCTTCAGTATAAGATCTTTTATATTCCCATCGAAGTCGATCAATTAATATGATATAGGAACTTTATGTTCACTGCGATGCTCATTGTGCGCGTTCTCTGAAATTATTGAGCTAATTTATTTAAATGCGCAAAATGTGTCGAAATGAAATGCGCAAATAAATTGCAATACATAAAGTGCGGAATGGCATTGTTAGCTCAATAAATTTGAGGGATTACGAACACAAATGCACTCGAAAATAAAACAGACCACACTTTACGTGATTATCAACAAAGATATATATATATATATATATAGAAATACAAATAAATAAATAAAAGATACCAAGAACAAAGGATTTATAGCCAGTTTCGCCTCTGGGCATTCAGTTAGCTGAGAGATGAAAAATGTTCGTGACGATTTGATCGCAAAATCAGTTTTTATGTTAATTGAATTATGCAAGCGCCTTGGCCAACCAGTTACAAGCCCCCAGAAATGATAGCCCCAGCAGTCGTTGGCTTGACCTTTTGCGAACCCTTGCACGAGAAAGTTGTGCAAAGCAGCCGCCGGGCAACCTCCAGCCACGAGTCAGTCGACCACCAGCTGTGAACTTGGAGAGGTCTGCTCTCGCGCTCGATTCGTCTTTCTCCCCATCCATCATGGGAAATCGATTGAGCAGTATTATCTAATGCCCAAGCCAATAAGTAAACAATAACAACAAGCGCAAAATTCAATTGCCTTTTATGTGTATTTTCTTAAACTATTATATTTAAATATTATATTTTATTTATTGCCAATGACAAGACGTTTCTAGCAGAGTGAAGCTATTGTTGTTACCTCAACACACACGAAAATTATGGACACAATTGCATTTATAGCGAAACAAGTTCATAGCGTAAAATATCATTTGAATATGCACATAAACATTGATAAAAAAAATGAATAAAATTCAAAATATATTAAACAAAAGTGAACAAATGCAAAATTTATAAAACGTCACAAATTTCTGTGCAAAAATTGAGTTGCCGGCCACAAGCGCCATTTGAGGTTTTTAGTTTGGGGCTTTGACTGCGATAATTATTGACGACGCTGATGAGACGGAGACGGAGACCACAATGGCAATAATAACAACGACAGCAACAGCGACAACAACATCATCAGCAACTGTTGCTGTTGCTGTTGCTGCCGTTGCTGGTGCCAAAGCAATAGCAACAACCAAGCACTTGTAAGATATAGCAACAACAACAGCTAAAACCAGCCCGCTGCTGACGTCGACAGCAACTTCATGAGGTGCGCAGCTCTTCACTAGCACAGCGCAGACGCAACGTCGTTTCAGTGCGGTTTTGGAGTTCATAGCGTTTGGTCGTGATCGTGCAGCACCCCCAACAACTTGTTTGTATCTGTGTCTGTGTCCGTGTCCGTGTGCGTGTGTATGTTTATGTGTGTCCAATAGTGTCTTATAACAATTGTGTGCAGGATCTACTTAGAAATCAAGGCACCCACACACACAAATACAACCAAACAAACAACAACAACACCAACAAGCAAGAACTTTGTGGACAACGGTGCTCCAGCTCCAGTGTGGAGTTCCACTTGGCAGCCATGTCAGCAGTGAAGGATAAGCTCTGGCTGCTGCTTGTTGGCCTACTGGCCGCATTGAGCTGTAAGTAGATTAAGTAGCTGTGATTTATGAGTGATAAACGCGTATTGTGATGCAAATTGGGGGCTAACCAAAATAAAAACCAAGCAAATAATAAAATGAAATAAAAATAAAAATAAAGTAAAATAAATACAAATAAAAACTAAAAAAAAACTAGATTAGTGCCCCAGCCACACACGCTACACACTGAGGCATCTGTATCTGTGTCTGTATGTATCTTTTAATGGCGAGAGGGCGGCCAGACAATGCGCCGAATGACACGGCGCAAATATATCATCTTTTGTGTGAGTGTGAATGCAAAGTATGCCAAATGAATATTCAACAGTCGCTAGTCCATGTTTATGATTGCCGCTGACCGTTGAACTGGCCACCGAACCAACTGAACTGACCAACTGCCAAATTGACTGACTGGCTGACTGACCAACTGCCAGACTGCATTAACATTGCCTGACGGATTTGCATACATTTATGTATGCGACTGCGTTTCCTTGATACAATTCGGAGACCTCCGATCAGGCGATTGCCTCAATGGAAAAGCGATGTATTTTATTTATTTTTTTTTTTTTTGCGCCGTCGTCTTCCTCTTCTCTTCGATTTTTGTATGCAACGTGAAAGTAGGTCTCTAGGTTGAAGATTGCTTGTTGGGTTTTTGCGAATATGTGCATACGTACATGTGTATATATGTGCATGCATGCATGCATGTGTCTGCATGTATGTATATTAGCGTATGACTGAACTAGCATCATTTATAGATAAATTCATATATACATACATATGTGCACATATGTACATACATATATTGATTGGTTAAATGCTGCTGGCCAGGCTGCAAATGATTGGCAATTGCGGCAACCAGTTCCAGCTGGGCTTAGATTTGAGTTTGGGTTCGTTTGCTTAACCGCTTGAACACTCGATAGGCTAACATTGCCTGCCCGCCCGACCGACTGCCCGCCTGGCTAATGGCTCTGTCTAACTCTGGCCCGAGCATCATTAATAAGACACTCGACGGCAAAGTGCTGTTGCTTTTATTTAACTTTTAATTACACCTTTGGCATTTAGTCTGCTGCTGTTATAAGCCAACAATTTAGGCTTGATAAACGTAGGTACCTCATATGACTTATTGCCCCACTCAGACATATGTAGATCTGAGTTAGCATCAAAACTGGACCATTATTCGTGAATTATTTCGCAGCCGGCACTTTGATTCAATTAAGTGTGAATTGTGTGTGCGCTGAAACAGTAGCCGAGATTCTTGCGCTCAGACAGGAAAGACTTGTCGGCATCTTGTTAATTTGGAGCACCAACTGCCATGGCCACCAATCGCATCGATCGTAGGCACCTCACACAACACGACAACAACTACAGCAGCAGCAACAACTACAGTAATGCGAATACTCGAGCCCCATAACCAAATCGAGTCGCGTCTAAAACTTCAGGCCATGGAGGCCGCCCATAGTTGTTGGCCTGATAGTGGCAGCAAGAGCCAAACGTGTTTATAGCCCCAGCAAACAATAATAATAAAAAAAATTAATTGAATTTCAACAACAACAACAACTGCGACAACAGCAGCAACAATGTTCGCTCGCTCTTTAACTTTGGCCAAAGGCCTGTGAAGGTAAAGTTTGAAGCTTTTAAATATATTCGCGCACACGCGCAAACAATTTCGCAAATAAGCTGCAAAAGTTTGGCAGATTCGCCAGCCAATCCGATTGGCATAAAAATAGAACTGGCGCAAAGTCTTCAGGCGAAAATGGGAGACGCAATTCTCAATTGTCTGATTCACGGGCCATTTGTATCTGTCCCATGGCAAACGCTTTGAACTCTGCCGCTGCTCTGCTTTGCTCAAATGTTAAATAACTAATATCAGAATCTGGGTTACACGCCCCACAAACTCCGCTGGAGCTCTATTGCCATTGTTGCGTGGCTTTATTTGGCATGAAGCGAAAACTTCCTGTCAAAGTTTATGACCAGCATCGTTTGAGTCGCATTAACAATAAAGTCGTAATCATCATAAAAGCCAACGCACGCGGCCATAAGAAGCCATCCGAATCTATAACAAAGCGGAGAACAAATTTGGATTCGGATTCTGATTCAGATTCAGATTCTAATTCTAATTTAGCTGTTTGTTGCCAGATCTAGCTTTTCTGTTGCCTGCTCAACATTAATTTGGCAGCCAAGAATATGACGTGATTGTTGTTGTTGTTAGTTGTTGGTTGTTGTAGTAGTCGCTCGAAAATTGCTGTTAATATGTAAATTTGATGCGAATAATTAAGTGGCTGCTAAGTGGTGCCAGGGAACAGTTTATTTATTACTTTATTATTTTCTTTCTGCTTTAGCTCGCGTGAGTTAAGCGCTGACGGCGTCGACTCAAGTTCGTTGCTTAAGTCTTTTGTTTTGGTTTGCCTAACATTTGCGGCTTTATTTTTTTTTCTTCGATTTTTTTTTTGTTTTTGTTTTTGTTATTGTTTTCTCGCTAACAACAATAAAAATATCAAATTATAAACAGCACTGCAGCACGGCTGTGATGCCGCCTACCCATATTATGGCACAAAGATCGGCTCGCTGACACGACTGCATCATGGCGTTTCCGGTGACGTATACGCCGTAGATTCCCGTACGATTTTCATCAAGAAATTCAACTACGATGGAGAGGCGCCCGCCGCCTACTTTTATGTGGGCAACACCGCCCGACCCAGCAACGAGGGCGCCTCTCGCCTGCGGGACGAGCGTGGGGGCACTGCCTCGCTGACGCGTCGCTACCGCAACAAGGACATCACCCTATCCCTGCCAGAGGGCAAGACGCTGCGGGATGTGAAATGGTTTTCGGTGTGGTGCGACGAGTTCGCCGTCAACTTTGGCGATGTCGCCATTCCGAGCACACTAGACTTTCCCCGTCCCCAGAAGATCGGCGCACTGAGAGGCGTGCACGGCGTTTCCTCCGACAACATTGTCATTGTTGATGCCCAGACGCTGCTGGTCCCCAACTTCAGCTATGACGCCGAGGCTCCAGGTGAGTAAATGGCAGCACGCGTGGCTTAATGAAGGGCGAACTCCAACGCTGGCACTCGATTTCCATTTTACAGACGCCAAGTTCTGGGTGGGCCGTGGCCAGCGTCCCACCGCCGACGGCCTGCGCATACCCGATGAGAATGGCAAAGAGAATCCGTTGCGTCGCTACGATCGCAAGACAATTGTACTGACGCTGCCTGAAGATCTGACCATCTTCGATATTGGACACTTTGGCGTCTGGTGTGAGGCGTTCACCGTCGACTTTGGCCATGTCCGCTTGCCGGAGGGCCTCAATGTGCCGCCCTCGCTCAAAATGCTGGGCATCAGTCCACAGGTAAAGAAGCCGTTAAATCAAATACTCAGCGAGCTGCAGCTCTAATGGCCCAGACGGCCCTAGGCACTCGCCAAGCATTTGAGGTGTGCGTGGAACTTATTTAAACATTTTATATCTTAATACTCGTATTTATTTGTACCCGTGCAACGCCTATTTAACAATAGCAATCGAGTTGCCTTTGAAATTACTAGACTCTAAGTGTGTGCATTTTTTATAAACTACAATTTCAATTCACGAATTCAATGTATACAAATATATATGTGCAGCACATTTTTATATACAATTACCAAATCGGTCGTCTTCTGTGTTTTGTTGAGTTTGAAAAAAGAACTTTTGCTTTGTATTTTTGAATTGAGCGCCTATACAAAATGAAATGTGTGCAAATCTTTCTTTGGGGTTTACCCTTCCACTGAGTCCTTAGCCCAGCAACCCAGCCGCTCTCCCTAAACACCCAACACCTATACTCTCTTTCTCTCTCTCACACACACACACACAAACACACATACTCAAACATATATACGAAATACACATACGTCAATCCCCTGAGCCATACTAATTTAACTCTCGTCGTATTCGTACCCTCCGTCAAAACTACAAACATTTTCATTTTGTATGAGCTTCATTAAACGTTTTAATCTGAATTTGAATTATGATTTATTTCAATAAAAAAATTATTAAAAACGAAAAGCAAAATTTTTAAACGCAACAAAAACCGAAAACAAAAAAAAACAAAAAAGACAGTAATTTTTGCACAAAATTTAACTTTGGCAAGTGCTAATCATTCATTCATCTCCTAACCCTCATACTAATCCAAATCCACATCTGTTAATACCTCATGCCCACTCACTCCACCACTCCACAAGTGCACTCATTTCATGCTGCTCCAATTCCAATGCTTATCTGCAATACAATAGCAAAACTAATTCTCTTCCAGTCGAAGCTCAACTGCGAGGTGCTCTACGATGATCTGGCCTTCGAAGTACGCTGGGCCGTGGCCGGCGAGAGCATCGTTGTGCAGCTGGTCGCCAAGTTGGGTAAGTCCAAGTCGCCGCCGCAGAGCCAAATGCGGAAACATTTTGCGGTTTTTCTTTATCCGCGAACTTGACACTCCCCCAAAAGGCCAAAGTGCCAAAGCAATTTAGCACATTGTAAACGGTTTGAATTACCGCATTAGCAGAGCGACAGATCAATTCAAATTGATTGACAAATTCACGGCTCGAGGAGTGTCTAATGACTGGCCAAACAATTTAGAGTAAACTCTCTGGCTAATCTTTGTGTTTCGCATGATTGTGCTAATTAAACTTGATATTTCATCTCATTTGGCATGTAGGACTGTGCAATAGATAAATACGAGAAATCTTCATTAGGAAATCATTTTCATAGCATTAAAACATGCGATCAAACTGCCCTTGCTATATGAAAAAGGAAGTCATACAAGTTTTACGACTTCCTTATGTCTTATACAGACTAGGAATATAATTTTACTTTATTGTTCGATTGTTTTTCTAACAAAAAAAACATTCAGCTCTGTATTTCATTGAAATTAAATTCTATACTACCTGGCAATGTATTATTTGGTTATTTTTTAGTGCCAATATCTTTGACGTACAGGAAGGAAAATAATTTTTTTTTTTTTTTAACGAAAATAAATGAAAACATTTTTCAGACTTGTTTAAGAATCTTCATTTCGAAATCTACTTAAGAATAGAATTTAGTTTTGCTATTCAAGTGGTATGAACCATATATAAAGGATTTTATAGGTTATGTATTCCTTATCATGAGGTACTATATCGTCGTCGCATTATTCTCTGCATATTTTCTTAAATCATTTATGATTCCTATAATGTAAACAACAAGTCCGAATCAACCTAAGATACATATGTCTTATAGGTAATGAGGGTATCAATTCAATTTTCGAGACTATTGCTATTTCTTTAAGATTCCAACAAATCTATAAATATAACATTATAGGGCTTTACAACAATAATTAGTGGCGCAGTGAGCTTGTTTTCAGTAAAAAATTTTAATATTTCAATAAAACTTAAAGAAAAATATATTTTTAATCCCAATGTCAAATGTCTTTGCTGTGCCGAAAGTAGGAATTAATAAATTATTCCAAATTACATTCATAAAAAAAAAAAATTGTCATCTATACAAAGTCACACTTCAGCATAAAAACAAAACAATCATCATCTCAATACAAATCAGCTCAGTTTTCGGTTTAAGATCAATAAATCGAACAAGCCCTGAATGAAGATGAAGATCTTGACTAGCAAATAAATTGAGAGCAGTTAAACATTGATTCAATTTATGATGCTTTGACATTTTGCTTGAGCATAGTCAATAAAGGAGTCAAAGACAACAAAAACAACAACAACAATTCCAGTTGGCAGTCAAATTGACCGATCAGCGGCAGCATCGTTAGTAGAATAACAAGTTGCAAAATATGACGACTGGTTTATTGCGCAACCAACGCACAGAGCACTAAGCACTGGACAGAGAGAACAGAGCACCAAGCACGGAACATGAAGCATGAAGCATGGGGCAATTAATAGCCATGGCAAAGTGGATGCTGCCATTGCCGATGGCGCGCATCTGCATTCAGCACTCAGCACTCAGCACTCGGCATTCGGTAAACACAATGTTGGTGCATGACCATCTAGGAGTGAATATTTCTTTAGTGGCACGCGTTGAATGCTGTGGCGATGTTATGATGCTACTGGTCTTGAGCCATGCGTGTGGCAGTGGCTGCGATTGGCAATTTGGAACCGCTAAGAATGCCAACTGGGAATTTTCACCTGGAATCCGAATCTGAAAACCGGTCCCTGGTGCGCTGCTTGGCTAGGCACCCATTTAGGAACATGTTGTGTTGGCCCCCAGAAATGGGGCGAGCAACTTTCATTGATTGCGATCCCAATAGCATTACATTTCTGAGATAGCTACTACCATTCTCAATTCTTCGCAGAACCCAACAATTACATGGCCTTTGGCATCTCGCCGAACAAGAACATAAGCCAGATGATTGGAGCTGATGCCGCTGTGGCGTGGGTGGATCCCGAAACTGGCAACGGCTTTGCACAGGACTATTTCTTGGAGGGCAAGTCTCAGTGCTCAGGTGGTCGAGGCGCCTGTCCGGATATTAAGATAGTTCCCAACACCAACTCGGTCCGCCTGCTCAATGCGGCCATGGTGAATGGCTACTCCATTGTCACCTATCAGCGGTCGCTGTCTGCCACAGATAACTTGGACTTGCCGATATCAGTGAACGAAGCGGAGTCTGTCGTGTGGGCAATCGGACCCTTGAACGATTTCAGGGAGGTCTCCTTCCATACTTACTATAACAAGCATTTGCATCCGATTGAGTTTGGGCGGCAGCCCAAATGGAACTGCCCCCTGCCGGAGGGCGCTAAGCCGGGAAGCAGCAGCAGCTCAGCCGAACAAGAGGAAGAAGTCACTCAGATTAGCTCCACTGGCGGTGCAGGTTATCCGCCAGCGGGTCGTCCCAGCATTGAACCTGATGAGGAGTTTTATGAGAACAGCCCACAGGCCCTGAAGCGCACAACACCCGCTCAAGCGCCACAAAGGCGCCAAGAGACGCTTTCCACGCAGCGTCGACCGGTACCCACACCCCGACCAGTGAGCAGCAATGGTGCCTGGGATATTCCGGCCATACAATGCCACGAGCCAGAGGACGGTGTCTTCTATGCTCAAATGGGTCCGACAGGTGGCAAGCATGGTTATCCTGCTATAACCGGTAAGTATTGCTGAAGAGGTCCAGCTCTTTCTTTTACTTAACAGATTCCCTCATTTTATAGGCCACGTGGGCTGGGGTATTTCCTGGTATATCAACGGGTTGCTGATTCCCGAGATTCATGTGGTTAGAGGAAAGACCTACACTTTTGTTGTGGAGGGCGGCAACAATCCGGACATACCCGCCAAGTATCATCCCTTCTACATTAGCGATGATCCAGTAGGCGGCTATGAGCACAAGCGAGAGGAAGAAAAGAAGGTAAAGGCATTTAAACAATTCTATTTCAGTACATTTTCTTATGTTATGTTCCTTTGTTCCAGGCCGTACGCATCTTTGCTGGTGTGCACCGATCCAGATCCGGTCAGGTGACTCCCACTGGGGTGGGACGTTTGTGCAACTGGACACCTGACGTTGATGGACCGCCAGCGGATGATTATCAGAGTTTCGGAGCGTATCAACGCACATTGACATTGAAATGCGACGCTGGTGAGCCGGGAGTGATCAGCTGGAAGCCGGATAGGAATACGCCGGACACCGTTTACTATCACTGCTTTACGCATCGTTACCTGGGTTGGAAGATACACGTGCATGACTCATGCGACAGCTTTGGTGATGGTGTAGGCGCTGCCTCAGAGCGGCACGAGTTACGGCAGCCGGCACCCGTCCGGGAAGATTATGCTGCCGAATCATCGATTCGTCACGAAACAAAGGTCAGCCCCAACGATAATTTTTTATTGAAGCACCAAACCGATTTGATTAAGAATCACAATATGAATGGAACACCGCCTAAACTGAGTTTTGAAATAACGAAATCTTCGGAAATAACCAAACTGATTTCAGATGGGATCCGCGCTGCTGAGGCTCTCGAGGAGAGCCTACTGAGGAACCAATCGATCACCTCCGCACCACCGACACAGTTAAGAGATAACAACAGCAGCAACAACAACAACAACAACAACGATAATATTGGCTCTAGAAAACCATCGAAACCATTGCTGGCTCCAGCCAGACCGGAGATTTTGCAAGGCGAAACTCATTCACTGAAACCATCATCCTCATCCACAACATCGGTTCATTCAAAGCTTCCCATTTTCGCAGCACCGCAATCACCACCTGTCATTGTTAACTCTCATTCGCATCAGCGTTTACAATATCCGCATCTGCACCACGCACACTATCCATTCCCTCATCCACACCATTTTCATGCTCATACTGCACAGCAATTGCATCACAATCTAACTAGTAATCTTCCAGCGCTGGCGCAAAAAACAATTAGCCTATCTGAATATCTGCGTCCCCCACAAAATGCACCGCTCTTCCACCCTGTGAAGCTGCCCGGACGTCGACCCTTTCCCGGCCCCATCAAGAAGGTGCCTGCCTCAAGGCCAGTGTTGCCGCAACAGCATCCGCCGCCTGGTGGACTGCTGGCTCAGTCATCGTTGATTGTTAACCACTATCGGAAACCAGTGCCCAGCCTGCTGAAGCCGTTCCTTAAGGAGAAACACTTTCCCATACAGCCGATAGCTGCTTCGGTTTTGTTATTAGGTCAGCCGACGGAGCTCAGCGGCATTGGACAGAGAAAACCCGATGCCGCAGAGCGTGCCAAAATCAAGTCGAAGCCCGTAATCCCATTGCCCGTGCCGTATGTAGACCTCGAGCCTCAGTCTTCACTCAAGACCACTTCCTACTTTAAGTCAAACAACAATGTGGAGCAGCCAATTTTAAGCAGCACAACAACGACGATAGTGCCAATTATTAAGCATCCGATCCCTGATGAGCCATCGCCCCAACAAATTGCCAGCATGCGTCCGGCAGTTAATCAAGGATTTAAACCAGATTCCGTTGTGGTTGAGAGCGGGTTCCGCCCGATTGTGCGTAAAGATGGCAGCGGCGTACAGCTTCCACCTGAATTGATTGACCAGGTAGCTCACAGGCGCGAGGATCCTGGCTCTGAAATAGACGAAGTCATGGAGACAGACACGCTTTTCCTAACCGCACAAAGTGGCACCAATACCCAGAGCTTTGAGCCTATGTTTATACCCTCTCCCTTGGACAGCACCAAAGCAACAATGCTAGCATTGAGCGCTAAGGAAGATGTCATTGAGCCTGTTCCAGACGTTCCATCTCCACTGAGATTACCTTCAGTGGCAATCAAGCACACACTCCCAGCGGCGGCTGAACTTAGAAAGCCATCGCTCGAAGAGCTGTTTCTTGACGGGGACGAGGATGATACGCAAAGCGAAGCAAAGGGACAGGATGAACGGATCACGGCGACAAATCAGCCAAATGTAATTGAGAAAGAACAAAACTCTTCAGAAACAGCCATTGCAGCCGATGAGGATATGGACTATGATGACATAGGTAGCCTATTCGAGCCATCGGCGGAAGAGGAACACCACATGCAGGACCGTTTAGACGAGGATCTGGAAATGGATCCAGACGAAAAGGTAGCTGAAGCAGCCGAACGCATTGATACATACTACTTGCCACCTGACAACCGGAAGATACCGCAATCTGGAGTTCCTAGCGGTGCCGTTTATACCTTTGATGGTAAATCTGTAGTGGATTCCACTCTGGTGCTGCCCCCGAAGTTGGACGGGCGCGACAGTGGACATTCGCGTCACTCGCATTACGGGCTAACCCCATTAGAGAAGCTTATACGTACCACTCCACAGTTTGGCGCCTATCGCGGGGAACTTCCAGAAGATTTCCTCTCGACCACTCAGGCAGGTGTGCAGCCGGATCATACGAATCCAGTGCGTTTAAGTAGCAGCAGCACCGACAGCACTCTTCATTCACATTCATCGCCATCACTAACATCGTCATCGAGGCCCATTTCGACCAAGTTGCACTTGCTCAAGCCCAACATAAATGAAAATAGCACGTAGATAGTGAGTTAGAAAGAGGCAGAGAGAGAGAGAGAGAGAGAGAGAGAAGGGGTTAGAGAGAGTTGGCAACACAGGTGCGCAATAGTTTAATTCATTGATAGATAAGCATTTACAACTGCAAGCAGTTAGTAATTGAATTTGTATTCATAACCACATACATACATATACCACAAAAAATACCGTATTAGATGTAGTCACCTCTTTATGTGTTTAAATATTATGATGCTCTTAATTTTAATAAAACACAATTTTACATACACAATTAGCTAAGCTATAATCTATGTTTAATATGCATTTTAGTCGTTGTCTATGAAGTAAATTTTATTAACATATATTTTGAATCGATGACTGTTTTACTTACATATTTATTTGTTGCATTTTATGAACGATTAACAAGTTCGTTAAAATTTTAAGCCAAAATGCATATACAGGTAAATCTATCGAAATGCTTATCGTATTGCTGTTTATCGAAACTTGGTGTGAAAACTGTTATCGCACTGTTATTTTAAAGTCAGAAGACTTAAAATTTTATGAAAAATTATAAAAAACAACAAATATATTTTTAAATTGCAATATTTGGAAACTATCGTAACATGATTTTTTATCAAATCGAAAAGCGCGCTCTGTTAATATTAACAGATTCTATAATAATGAACTAAATGAACCACTGGCTTGCTCGGTGGCTCTGTTTTATCTGTTGTTCACGCGAACTTATTCTTATGGTTCGATACAATTATACACGTGATACATCATGAGCCAATTCACACATTCAATAAAAGTGCCCACCCAATATAAAGCAACAGCCAAAATATTAAAGGCTGCCATTGAGAAACAAAAATCAATCAAATCGTTGATATTTGAAGAAAAGCATGCGGTTAGTAGTGTAAAATCTGGTTCAATTGACAGGCGGCTAATGTGAGCAACCGAATCTTTTCATATTAACAGCGCGTCCGAAGCTTGCAAGCGGTGTTAAAACATTACAGCGACAACAGAGGAGCCATTGACAACGCTATCGAGGAGACGGGACTGCTGAAAGAAAATCCAAACTTGGACTCGGCACTGGCCAAGGTGCTAGTTACGGAACTAATTTTCGGACGCGGACAATTGAACGGAGAAAGCAAACCAGTGCAAACAGTGCGCTCGTACAAGGAGAAATTGCAACAAGCTATTAGCGGCTCAGAGCAGAAGAAGAAAGGCAGGTGCTCAAGTATAGACGTAGCTGTAAACCAAACAGTATTAATTGGCAATGGGCAAAAAGTCGAAAAAGCAATCAGCGCTCGCCGTTGCCCCAATGAGTTCAGCTGCGCAACCAGAAAAGTCGGAAGTTGAGCATGAGCCGGAGCCTGAGCAACAATATGTGGACAAGAGCCTAGAGGTGTTTCTCTGGCTAATGGCATACAGTGTGCTCATGTTTACGCTGCCTTTCCTTGGCTTCTATGGTGTGCGCAGCTGGCTGGAGGAATCCTTTCCCGAACTGAGCACATTTCAAGTGAATTGCTACTCTGTGCTGACGGCCGTGCTGGTGGTCAATACAATAGTAGCCATGTATGTATTGAAGGCTGTCCGTGAGAAGGATCCGCCTGTACTGGCGATTGAAAACGACGACAATAAAAAGGAGCAATAATTTAGTTTAAGCTCAGACGTAATAAAAGACATTTTTTGTAACACTTTTCCATGCTTTTCTTTGCTTAAACACACAGAGCCCAATCCACGCTATGTACGCATCAATACGAATCTGCTCAGTGTCGCCGATGCCCTGGACTACTTGTATGGCGAGGAGTGGCGGCGCAAGCAGCTGGACTCAGACGGCACATATGCTGACTTTTTGGCAGCAATACGGGCATTGGAGGAGGACGAGTTCCTGATGGACATGCATGTGGAAGGAGTTCTGATATTCCATCACAAGTGGAGTCATTACTGGGCCTCCCATGAATTCGTCCACACTAAAAAGTTCATATTGCAGAACAAGGCCACCTGCCTGGCTGCCGAGCTGCTAGCCCCTCCAGTTGGATCAACTGTGCTAGACATGTGCGCAGCTCCGGGCATGAAAACTCTACATATTTGCAATGTGATGCACAACCAAGGGCGCATCTATGCCGTGGAGCAGTCCAAAGAGCGATACAAGGCCTTGTGCGATATTACGAACGAGGCAGGCTGCCAGATAGTCACGCCCATACTGGGCGATGCTCTTACCATGGGTCAGTAGAAAACTACGAACGATTCACATTCTTTATCTAACTCATCTTCTCTGACTCTAGATGCCACGAAATGTCCAGATGTCGAGTATATTTTGGTAGATCCCAGTTGTTCTGGTAATGGAATGCAAAGCCGTATCAGCGTCTGTGATGAGCAGAAAGACGACAAACGTCTATATAAACTGGCTGGGCTACAAATCAAGATTTTATCGCACGCCATGAGCGCGTTTCCAAATGTCAAACGTATTCTCTACTGTACTTGCTCCCTTTGGAAGGAGGAGAACGAACAGGTGGTTCAACGCTGCCTCCAGCTGAATCCCTCATTCAAGCTCCTCAGTTGCAAGAAGGCGCTACGGAATAAATGGCAGAACGTGGGTGACAAGGAGTACGTGCAAATTGGCAAGAACTGTTTGTATTGTCTTCCCGACTACGATCTGACCGATGGCATCTTCTTGGCCATGTTCGAGAAACGCCCGGATGCTGACAATGAATAGCTCAGCTAGGGGAAAACGCACATAGTATAATTAAGTACTTTATTTGACTCTTTCAACTTCAATTTACATGAACTTTTAGTAAACTTAATTAGAACATTTTAAACATTCTTTGCATTTGTTTATAAAAAAAATAAAAATAAAAATAAAATATACTTTTGTATAACATTTATAAGTTTTAAAGATCGCCTCATATTAATAAATATATAAAATGAATATATACTGGTAATGAGCGTTGGTACATTAAAAAAAAGAATATATATGAAACATATAATAAAAATTGTGTTAATCAATTTTTTGATGTCAAAATTTAAAAACTTGTACTCTGAAAAGTCTGCCATAGAAAATATTCATTGCTTATTTCTTTAGCATTCAAATTACTCTCTATCACGATTGGCAGTTCGAAATTCAAAGTCTTTCAATCCAAAAATAATACATTAAGATATATCAGACCAATATTGCAGATTATCTGATCGCTAAGTGTCGTTAGCGTTAACAAAAATGCTGGCACAAATCAATAAGCCAGTGTTTAGACATTTTTATCGGCTACGATTCTACAAAAGTTACGATATCGTAAGTAATTATTGAATTTTATGAAACAAATATGTTTGAAGTTTGAGCGTGTTTTCTAATGATGACACACTATCTGACCGTAGTGTTTAAAAAATATAATAAAATCGAACGCGCCAGGCGCATTAAATTATCGGTGCTCATCTTTGAGCATTTCAATGTGGATCACGTATATATATATCGATACATATATATATATATATATAGCTATATATACATATATATAGATTACGTACACGTATGAAAAACTACCAGAGTTTCTCCCACAATTATACCTTCATTTGCTGCTTGTAGTAATTGCTTTTGGCAAGACGAAACGACTCCGCCTTAATGGCATCTTCCATTGTGACAATGGGTTTCTTAGGACAGTACTTGATGGTGTGCGCCGAGTCGCCGGATGCACCACAAATTGGGCATACATAGGTGCGTAGCTTTGGGCACAGCACTCGTCCGTAGGAGTCACGCACTGAATGGCTGTTGACCACAGCTTCCGCTTCGTTGTTGTTTTCACAGAAAACACAGTGCCTGGGCACCTGTAGCATAGAAGAAATACAAAATGATCAGGAACTCCGCCGACTAGCGAAGATAAGCCTTCTACTTACCAATTCTTTAGTCTTGCCATTATAGCGCTTATGTAGTTTATTGGTACTCGCCACGTTCACATTGCTGATATTGCGTACTTGGTCCGGAGGCATTGGCAGTCCAACATTCACGTTCTTTTGAGAGCCCATAGCAACGCCTGTAGTGGTTGCCAAGTTCGGAGCGTAGGACATGCTGCGCCACACATTGTTCAGCTGCTCGCGGTAATTGTTGTAATTAAGCCAATGTGCAGCAGCTACTGAGGGCGACCCATAGGATGCCGCAGCCGTCGAGTTACCAGCTGCATATTGTCGTGGCAGAGAAGACGACTGCGGTGTGACAGAACTTTGATTGTTGTACTGAAAGCAATTGAACTCATCGCTCACGTATCCATTGGATGCAAACTCCTGCATTGCATCTTGGGTAGAACCATTGTTATTATCTGGGAAGAGGCAGAACATTAATTAGCGCAATTTTTATACGGCCTGCAAACTTCAATATGAATGTCCCGTTGTTGCCGCTAAAAAGTACTTTCTTTTGATGATTGTGACTTTACCGTTGCCTTCCCATCTATACCTATCCTACTCACACTCACCTGTATTGCAGGACGTGAGCAGGGCAAACATTTTCAATGAATGCGCTATCTCATCCTTTTGCTGGTGATTCGCAGCGGCCGCAGACGCAGCTAAAGCCAGCTGATGCTTCGCCAAAGCCAGCTGCTGCTGCTGCTGTTGCAGCAGCAGATGATATTGGTACTGGCGCTGCAGGAACAGTGTACCGGCCGCAGAGGCGTTCATATTTACTTGGTTGTTGTCCGTCAGCAGGGGAAACTGAGTCGAGGACATCGTAGGTTCCGGTGTCAATGGGGTCGTAGGAGGACTCAGAGTGGCCGATGAAACAGGTGGCGAGATGTTTTGCGACGCCGTGTCCAAGTACATATTGAGACCGCCAATACCATGAAAAGGTGACATATTGTCCTAGCGAATGAATACAACTCAAATTATTTTCAGAAAAATCAAAAGCAATCTACGGCTTGCAATGGCGTCCACTTACCATCGGTACACTGTTTTCCAGGCTATTGCCGCTGCGAAACATGATAAATTCCAACAACAATGTCTATTGGAATGTAGACAAGTACAAAGTGCCGTTATTGCTCTTTTCGGTTTGCACCAATTCTTTCCCACATACAATTAAGTTAAATTGTTTCTTTTTATTATTATTTTCTGGCTGAAGTATATTTATGCGCTACTTCTTTAATATTTAATTATGATTTAACTTAAATTCACGGTTGAAACTGGCGCAAAAATATATTAAATTGCTCAAAACTAAAATATCGGCAAGTGGCGCCAACTACAAAAGCAAATACTTAAGTGTCAGTACATACTATTGCGTTCGCCTTAATTCCTGGAAGTCTTCGGCTAAGCTCGGCGAAGTAACGGTTTCAATCGGCGCAATACGCTCAGAGCGTTGCCACATAGTCCCAGAAATGGTAGGCGAAAAGGGAATTGAGAAAATACTAAAACAGAGCAACCAAGAAATACACATCAATTTATTATTTAATACATCGGTAGTTGAGGCGACAATCACCCGCCATCATTCAATTATTACGATTGCTGCACATACACCCACCATCGTCCCATTAAATACAACAATTCGAATTCCGCTAGCGACCACATACGTTCCACAGCACTGTACTCGTCATTAGCCAACACTGCACGCTCCAAACAGCTGACACTCAGATTCTTATACGTGCGTGTTTCACGGTCCGAATTACATAAATTTGGTGCGATTGACGTGAGTTGCCCAAGCATTCCTTGCATAGCAAAAGTCCAGAAAATCTCCACGCAGCAGCGATACCTGTCACAATGGTAGGTTCATACATTATACGGAGTATATTGCCGTCAACAACAGGACCGCTTTATACATGTGACCGTTTGGAGGTTAAATTTGGCTCGGCTGCAGCCCCTCATCATCATTCATTTAATTTATAAACCCGCTCTTTCATTGCAGTACAAATTGGCTGCCTTAGCGCGCGAGCGCGCATGTTTCATTACGTATCAATTAGCAAGCTACAACCTGCAACAGCAACCGGTGAGTATCACATAATTTACTTTTTTATTTAGTCAAGATTTGATATAGTTTGTTTGCTCGACTTATAGCAACGGCTCTATAGCTCACCTGGACGCCGGCCCGGATTCTTTTCGCAATTCATTGATAATGTGCGGAGTGAAATGGACAAGAATAAAGAGATGAAGGATAGCATAAAAAAGTTTCGCGAAGAAGCGCAAAAATTGGAGCAATCAGATGCGTTAAAATCGGCGCGGCAGAAGTTTAACATTGTTGAATCCGAGGCGCAAAAGTCTTCCAACATATTGAAAGAGCAATTGGGTGCCATCAAGGAAAAGGTCGGCGACGTTCTTGACGATGCTTCAAAATCGGACTTGGCCAAGAAAGTTTCCGAGGAGCTCTCCAAAACGGCGAAGGGTGTCACCGATACCATTACGGACACCAGCGGTAAATTGGGACAGTCGGGCGCCTTCCAAGCCATTTCCGATACAACGAAATTAATCAAAAAGGAAATGAACGAGACGAGCATAGAAAACCGCGTCTATTGCTCGCCCGTGAAGTTGCGAAAACGCGTTCAAGTGGACCTGTCCGATAGCTCGCGGGTTGTAGAGGCAAATACGGAAGCATTAGGTAAGGAAGATAACTGGATTTGCTTTGAAATTTAATAATGATTTTCTTCGTAGGCTTGGAGCTTCACAAGGACTCGAAGTTCTACCAGTCGTGGGAGAATTTTAAGAACAATAATACGTATGTGAATAAGGTACTTGATTGGAAAGTAAAATACGACGAATCGGAGAATCCTGTCATTCGAGCCTCCCGTCTGCTCACTGATAAGGTATCCGACGTGATGGGCGGTCTGTTTTCAAAAACCGAGCTGTCTGAGACGATGACCGAACTAGTCAAAATCGATCCGAACTTTGATCAGAAGCAGTTTTTGCATGATTGCGAAAAGGACATTATTCCCAATGTTTTGGAGGCCATTGTGCGAGGGGATCTGGAAATTCTAAAGGACTGGTGCTTCGAGAGCACGTACAACATAATTGCAACGCCCATAACACAAGCGAAAAAGGCCGGCCTATATCTGGACTCCAAGATCCTCGACATTGAAAACATTGAGCTGGCCATGGGCAAAGTCATGGAGCAAGGACCTGTGCTGATAATCACGTTCCAGGCGCAACAGATCATGTGCGTTCGGGATCAGAAGGGCCAGGTGGTGGAAGGGAATCCGGAAAAGGTAATGCGCGTGCATTACGTGTGGGTGCTGTGCCGTGACAGAAACGAGCTCAATCCCAAGGCCGCTTGGCGACTGATGGAGCTGTCGGCCAACAGTCAGGAGCAATTTGTTTAAACGTGCTGCACACAACTTATCACTAAGCAGTTTAAGTTTCTCATCATCCCAGACACTAGACAGACAAACGACAGACACTTCTACTTTGACGTAGCAGTTGGTTTTCATTTTCTTCATTTGTGTGCAAAAGTTTCGCTCTTATACTTCTACTACTTCGAAGATATTTTGCTAACTGCAGGTCGCGTGCTTCTGCCTAGCCTAGCCGGGGCTGCTGGTCGGTTTCCTAACTTATCTGTGATGCAGTGGACTGCTGGCTTGGCTATGCACCTGGCACGCGGCTCGGACGGACTACGGTCATCGTCGGCCACGCTACACCCTGACCGCCTATTCATGGCGCTATATATGTTGTATATTTTATCCTATCTTGTAAGCTGTATATTGAACCGTGAGCTTGGGTGCTCAGAGTGCGGCGTGGCCGGCGGCGCTCGGAGGCCGCAAGTGATTGGCCCAAATTTAAATGTTGAAGCTGAAAGTGCAAGCAATTTGTAATTCTTAAGTTAAATTGTTGAGTATAGGAGATTTGTTAATACTTTTAAGGCCAGCCTATGCAGGCATAGAGATAAATTCACTGTACCGAATAGCTGAAACTAAAGAGCCACATTCATCAATTATCACTTATTATTTGTAAAATCATTGCTACACGTTTTAAAAGTCTAGCACATTTAATAATAAATACAAAAGTCTTTGAATACGATTACATTATTGATATTTTAATTATAATATGGGTTCCCAAATGTACCAAATAAGATGTAGGTACGAAATGTACCATAAATTAATAACTCTGTATAGCCAGAACTGAGTAGCCAGAAATGTTAAAGTTAAATTCTAAAACAGCTTGGCTATAATAAATATAAAAAACAAGCCATTTTGTATAATAAATTAAAACAAGTATACTAATAATGTAATAACAAGTACCATTCAATTTGCAAAGGAAGTGGCAACGCTTTTAACTGGTTTTGCGCTTTGTTCATTTAACTTGAACTTGACGTACGCTCTCTCTCCTTGTCTCTCTGTCTTTTGTTCTCAAAAGCTTTTTTAATGCAGCCCAATAAAGTGAGCACTGTGCGCTCGTTCAGTCTTCAAGCGGAATTCATCGCGAGCGCACGCGCAAAAACTTTCCGGCCTTAAAGTTCGTGTATGATCGAACAGTGTTTTGTTTTTAAATAATTGGAAGCTAAATATCCAAAAGCTTACTCACCTAGCTAATAATCAGCTGACGCACCTCACTGAATATTATTTAATTTACGACCGAGTGATAAGCGAATTAATTAACGATTGATAAAAAAAAAGGTTCCAGACAAGTCAAACGAAAATGCGTGTCAGCAACGGTTTAACATTCTGCAGTCTTTTGCTTTTAGCGCTTCTGACGACGGGTTTCTGTAAGTACATAAACACACACGCACACACATAGGCTCATATATACATACATATGTATGTACATATGTATATCCAAGGCATAGACAGATAGCCAAGGCACACTTAAAGTGTCCACACAGCGTCTTCGTATTTATTTTGCCACTCGTACATTATCTGGAAACTAGTTTCCAATGCAGCTGGAAGGCTGGCCTGAGGCAGATACTCTTGGTTTTACCCTTTGCCTTTCACGTTAACGGGTCTCTGATGCGGGTCCAGTTTGCAAGCCAAGTTTACGGCGCATAAATATGGCTTTTTATTATGCCAATTCAGTCGGTGGCCAAGAGCCCAGAGCACTTTATATCAAGGTCGTACTTATAAAACTCGTGTATTTAGAGATGTTAGTTATGTGTAACCGCGTGCTTTGGCTTCCTTATAAAGTTACCCTCCGGTCCCTCCGGACCACAAATGGACATATTGGGGGCAACCTTTATTTGAATTATTCGCAAACCTTAATTTCTCCACGCGTTTTCGGGGCGATTTATGCGAGTCTTATGCGTTTCGCATGCCAAACAGACTTGAGAAACAAACGCGACTCTTTTATTAGGAATGTGTTTATTTGCTTGTGTCATCTAATATACAAAAGTTTATAGAAACATACATATGTACGTATATACATATGAACATATATGAATTTGTCTGGTACATATACATAGACTGGTTTCGTTATTAAGCTTGCCGGTTGGGTTTGTCGGCTCTGCACGATTCTTTGTTTGCCCAAAAGCATCTCCATTAAAAAAGGCCAGTCTCTTCTGAGAAGTCAGAGCTCAGAATATGTTTCTAGGCAAGATAAATATTTTGATTGGCCCAATAAAAATACATATGTAGGTGCGAATTGCTTTAGAGTCGCACAAGTTGTGCAAATATTTATAAGCTGTCTGTGGAAGAGTTGTCTTCCAAGGAAAATGCCATGACCAAGTAATTTTTGGTTTCAGTTTGTTGGTTTTTTTTTATGTGTATATTTATAAATCTTGATCTTTTCTGCTTAATTGCGTTTCTTACAGCTCATGCCAAACCCTTGGAAGAACCGAAGAAAACTGACACCGAGCTAAGTGATTCGAATGGGCTGGCAGCCAAAAATAAAACAGCTGTCAGCGCTGGCGAGGAGGTAAGCTAATCCCTAACGAGACCCCGAGTAACTGGGACACCAAAATCACACAAAAGACCGGCCTCAAAAGAGGTGCCTGAATGCCTGACTGACTAACTGACTAACTGTCTGTCTGTCTGTCTGTCTGGTTGACGGAGCGGCAGACACAGCTGAAATGTAATGTGATATGATGGCTATGCAGCTCGGCCGGTTTATTATTAAAACAGAACCGGAAATTTAAGCTTTAAAGACATTTTTTATTTATTTTCACTTTGATTAAATGCGAAAACCACAGTAAAGACACGCGCGCGCCGCTTGCCTTATAAGGCTCAAACGCACGTTACGACCATTTGCATGAAATTAAAAAGAGAAAAAGAAAAAACAAAATTGAAGAAGTCTCCGATGAGGGTTTTTAGCGTCTTAGTCACGAAATTCCATAAAAAATTGAGTTATAATTGAACGAGACAATGTGGATACCCCAAATGCTTCCACCTGATCAGCGAGCTTTGTCGTCATGGCTATGACTCAGCCTAAGCTCAAAGCCAACAGCCCAGAGCCCAGTGCGAATCGCTTTAAACCCGCATTCTAGGTAATTTCTGTGACGTCTCAATGCCGCATTCTTGGCTAAACAAACTAAACTCTAAGGCGACTCGCATGCGATTTCACCTGTTCAAATATCGGATCACTTTCCACCCATAAAAAGTATATCATTTTTATTGCAGCTTATGATAATATTGTGTTATGACTGTCGCTACTGAATAATTGAAGCGCGTCTGTAGAGAAACATGATCTGGAAAACAAAATAATGACAAGTCACGTAGCAGCATTTGTTGTCGAGAACCAACAAGTCGACTTTATTCAATTACAGTCCTGACCGGACCAGACCAGACCTGATCTGCTCGCATTAACTTACAACCTCTGGATCAGTCGAAGGCCTAGAAAATAGAATATGTTATGCAATCCGAATGCGCAATTGCAACATGCAATAACAGCAATCATCAATTTGCTTAAGTTCAAGAGTTAATGATACCTAGAAAGGAAAAAATGCAATTATATATGATACATATTGGAAAGTCTTAGTTCATGGCTTACCGAAAGTTGAAAATAAAAGTTTCAATTATATATGATACATATTTGTACCAGCAGCGACTTTTGCTCTCTCAAACATATTTATTATAAAAGAATATTTTATACACATCTCAAGGACTTACGCAATTCATATAAATGCTAAGCCCTTTAATAATGTACATACATACATATATAATTTGGAACTTTGTGCAATCTTTTTATTAAACCTATGGGCGTGACTAATCTGAAAAAATTATACCTGATACTACAAAGTGCACATAAAGCTTCTAGCCTCAAGTCTCTTTTGAAATTTTAAGCGCTTAATCGCAAATATCAACCCTCCGGATGTCAATGAGTCACCATTGATATTACCCGCATATATGTATGTAAAAACCTTTTAACTGATTTGGGCCATAAACAGGAAATATCGATGTTTGAATACATTTAACTACTTTTGTATCCAAAATAAATGAAGAAATCAGCTTTAGCCGCGTACAATATTCTATATCCCTACTAGCAGAATACACTCAATTCACATTCGAATCAATAAATTGGCTAATCTTGTAATGAGCTTCTCGAACGCTGAATTAATTAATTCAATTTAAAGACAATTAGTTGCCAAGATTGTGACGTCAAGATGTGAAAACTGATCGAGCATAAATTATATGGCATGCCAGTCATTGAAAATGTTGAAATTGAAATTTACTCACGCGCCAACGTCGACCTACATGCAGACAGACAGACAGACATACGTACGCCCAAATTGATATGCCTTGCTTCGTTATAAAATGGTATCTAACGGTTATATTATTTTTGTATTTTTTAGCTGAAAACTGCAACGAATTTGGCGCTGGCTGGCAACTATAAATACGACGTGGAAATACTTGAGTCTGGCGACAACGAGGATGAGGATCGGGATAGCAGCGAGGAGTTGGAGGAGCGTTTCAAGGGCCACGGCATTTTCAACACGGACACCGATACTTTCATAGCTGAAAATATTGAGATGACACCCGTGGATGTGGAGTCCAGTGCCATTAGCGAGAGCCACATGCTGCTCAGCATTGTATTGGTAGTCGTGGCTCTGGTCTCGGTGTGTCTATACGCCGGACTCGTTATATGGAGATCTCACCTGGAGTACGTAGTACAAGTGTGTTAATATATGTACGATTCTCTTATTTAAAATTTATTCTGCAGGCAACGCTATGGCATGCGCGAGAGACTCGTTAATCGGGATGTGGACGAGGAGGGCGTTGACGACCCGGATTATCATGTGACATATCCTCACACACTGAGCCCCTACGCGCCAACAACAACGACAGCTACGACCCGCTCGTAGTCTGGTGTCGATTTTTGTGTAGGATGAGATTCATTAGCGCTTAATATTATTTTAAATTGCACTTGATAGCGTTGCCTGCATTCACACACCTGTGCATGTGGGAATGAGAGGTGAACGGGTGTTTTATATGCATTGTCAATTAACTAACACATACATAATCGCGCGTTAAATAACAATACTAAAGTTCATCTTAGAATATGGGGTCGCTGAACTGTTAAAAGTTTCGCCCGCAGTTGGACATGCCAATTAGTTTTAAGTTTCTGTGATATTGTTCTAGAGACTCTTTTTATATTAACATCACGCTCAGAGTCAGAAACTAAAGTATTTTGTAAAAAAATATATATATTTAAATTCTGTAAGGGTGCATTAAACGAAATCAAAATCAAATTCGACTAAAAGATTATTTTTGAAATTACCGAAATGAATAATTAAACTTGCCCTTTTGCGTTTACAGACTCAGTTTTGCGTAGATGAGACGCCACCTGTTAGACAATAACATATCTGTAGGATAACAGGGCGTATACTGTATGCAAAGTTATTACAAAATAAGATTGGCTGACAGTTTGGAATAATATACACATAGAAGTATGTTTATACGGCGATTGTTTAGTTACTTTCAAATACTAAGTAAGTTTACAAACGTTCATCAGAAAAATTATGAAGCATCGCAAATAACTTTAAATGGAAAATTGCTGTTAACATATTTGCTCCTCTTTTGCCCCAAATACTCCACAGCTAACAGACTAATGCAACAGCTGTTTTTTTTTAGCAATTTGCACTTTGAACTTGTGCTTGTTTCGTCAAAGTGTGTCAAACTTGAATACGCGTGTTTCGATTTGTATACCTGTATCAGTGGTGTTTGCCCTAAATTGCCATTTAATACTCTCTGCTTGACTCAACATAAGGTGCGCGCTCTAAAGTTATAAAGTAGGTACAATGCTGCGACTGTAATACTAGCCGGCAACAGGGGCAGCATTTTACCACAGCATAAAAGTGTTCTAAGGCAACTCGTATTCTCATCGGTATGACTGTTAATTGACAGCTCTGTTCGATGGCTACTCCTCCACTCGCACAGCTAACAATTGACTGTGGCGTGTTATTGCTGCTCTATCGCACTTGCTTCGAACATTTGTCCCCCAGAATGCACAAGTCCTCGCGCAACCGAAGCAGCTACGAGAGAAGCTGGACCCCTCTCGTATATCTACTTAGTTTATGCTGCCGTTCGAGTACGAATACGAACGCGATTGCGAATGCGAATGCGCACTCTAGTCGAACAGTTTCATTGATAAGAAAGCAAGTGAAAGTCTCTCGGCAGAGACACGAGAACGTCCGCCAGTACACAATTGTCCGTCGCTGTCGCTGCAGGCAGAGCATTGCGCAGAGCAGCGTGAAGTGTGTGCAGTGTGAAGATTGTATCCAAATAGTGCGAAAGCTCTGACGCGCTATCCGTGTAGCTGTAGAGGCGGCTTGCAGCACACGTTGTGCTGTAATTAATTTAGTTGCGTGGCTTAATTTTGTTGCCGCTGTTGTCGCTTTGATTGTTAAAGTTGCCGTTCGCTTTTTAGCAGTGTATGCCTGTGTGTGTGTCCGTGTGATTATCCCTGCTGCTGCGCGTGCATGTGTGTGTATGCGTGGGCGCTTTTGTATTAATTAACCGTATAAGCAAGGCATCGTTTCCGACGCTATTGTTTTTGTGCTTCCTTGCGTGCTTCCTTCACCCGTAGCTCGTGCTCGTGCCCGTGCCAAGAGCAGTATTTAAACAACATCATCAGCAGGCAAACGACAGGAAAACAGCACCATGACGCACTGGGAGGACTTCTACAATACACATCTGCCGCCCGCAGACTTCGAGGATAATCGTTCGCTGCTCAAGGAGTTCTGTGAGCGACACAATAAGCTCCAGAACCGCATTGTGCTCGTCACGGTAAGCACTCGCTAATCCCAGCTCTTTTTCTGTCGACAGCCCAAATTCCCATAAAGTTCCCGTTAATGAACTGACCAGCCCCACTTCTAATCCCCAATCCATCTCTTTCGCACAGTCGGGCGGCACCACTGTCCCCCTGGAGCACAATACGGTGCGCTTCGTAGATAACTTCAGCGCAGGCACGCGTGGTTCGGCGAGTGCCGAGTACTTTTTGGATCATGATTATGCCGTTATCTTTATGCATCGCCACAAGTCCCTGGAGCCCTTCACGCGCCACTTTACCGGGCAACAGTTCTTCGACATGCTCGATATAGCGGACAACAGCCAGAGCTCCACGATAGCCATCAAGCCAGACTCGGTGGATGTGTTTGCGCCCGTACTGGCGAAATACAAGATTGCACGTGAGACCCAAATGATTCTGTACGTCAACTTCACCAGCGTCGTCGACTACATGTGGCTGCTGCGCGCCGCCTGCGAGTGCCTGGCTGCGTTCGAGGAGCGCGCCGTGTTATATTTGGCCGCTGCTGTATCAGATTTCTACATACCCGAGGACATGATGGTGAGTCGAACCGATGGCACGGTCGGTCATATGGGAAATCTTGTAATTGATTGCACTCGTCATTCAATGACTGGCGTCGCCAGTCGCCCATCGTCCATTTCCCATCGCCAGTCGCCAGTTTCAGTTGCCTGTAAATTGCTTTTTATCGATTCGCCATGTTGATTGTGGGCTTTGGGCTTGACATTTTTCTCTGCACATATTTGACGTCAGCCCCAGTAGGAGCAGCAGCTGAAGCAGGAGTACTAAGGCTCGGGAGCAAATGACAGCAGCTGTAGTGAAAGTAAAGGGAGTAGGGGCAGCTATATTAGAAGTAACTGGAGGAGCAGCAGCTATAGCAGTCGACGATAGCTGATGTGGGAGTACCTAGAGGAGTAGGAGTGGCAACGCGCGAAAGCACTGACAGCAACTGTAGTAGGAGTCGCATAAGGAGCAGCAGAGGCAGTAGTAACAAGGCGCGGGAGCCGTCTACAACAGTTGTAGTGGGAGTAGGAGAGGGAACAAGCCATAGCGATGCTCGGGAACAGTCAACAGCAGCTTAAAGTCAACTATTGCTCTTGACAAGCTGTTCGCTTGCCTCAGTTTCAAATGCCTGTCAACGACAGAGACTTACTAGTCTACATCCACAATGACACACAGATACATGGCCGGCTGCCCTATCTATTGGTGTCCTTGCAGCAGCCTTTCTACTGTCATCATGTCTTTAATTTGATTTGCATAATTTTGCTTGTTATGTGACCATGTGGCCATGTGGCCATGTGGCATGTTGCATGTAACCACTTCCCATCCGCTGCATAGTCAGTCTTCATTTTCATTTCACTGTTACACTGATTTACATGTTCATGCAGCTTTCGTTTGCACCCTCTGACTGGCATAGTCCACCTGCCTCCTTCAGCGGCATCCACCACAATCGTCCTGCCTGTCCACCTATCTCCTACATTTGCTCCTCCTCTCCATTCACTGCCTGTCAGCTGACTGTAGCGCTTACATATTCAGGTGCTCGACGGCAAAAGGTTTTCAAGTACATGCATCAAACGCTCGTTGCTGGAGGCGTTCGTCGTCGCGCCGCTAGCTGCTTGCAATTTTCACCTACTCTACACAAACACACAGACAGTAAAATATAGTATACATACGTATACGTATACAGATGTGCAGGCGGTGCAAGTGTTGGGGCAGGTAAACGGAAAGTTTTCCACTTGTCGCCCACCTTTGGTTCGTTCAGCCTCTCAGCTCCTCCGTGCTGGCATTTGCAACGCTCTATTTCCGTTTAGCTCGTGCATTTCCGCTCGGCCTCATGCTTGAGGCGCTCCCCGCCGTGTCAGTGTGTGGTTGTTGCTCTGGTGGTTGCTGGGGCGTTAGCCACAAATCGTTCGCTTGATTGAATTGTTGAATGTGCTCGGCAAACCCTTCGCGCCTGTCTCTTCCCAACCCCATGATGAATATAGCCCGATGATGTGTGTACATTGAAATTTATGCGCATATCTTAGGCTAAGCTCTACCCTGGCATTCTAGCGAAGGTCCTTGCTGCCTGACAGCTGATTTGTCAACAGAAATGCGCATAGTTTGCATAATGCCCGAGTGCATCCACACTGGCTTGCCTGTGCCACAACCACAAGCTCATCCACACAGGGCTTAAATATCACTTGGATACATGTGCGCTAAGTGGAAAACAGAAACGGCGACTTTCACCTGAGAATTCCTTAAAATGTTTACAGTTCAGTTAGCACTTGCACGGGCGTTTTACAGCCACTTGCTTTTCCAGGCTCAAGGACAACATTTAATTTCGGTAAGGCAAAGCGCCTTCCACCTTAAAGTAAATTTATGCAAATGTGGCAAACAAGTTGATGTTTCGTAAGGATGTTGTGGGGGGCAAACGCCGTTGCTTAAGTAAATTCTAATAAGCCAAAAACAACAAGAAGAAATTATAAATGTAAACTACACGAACAAAATTAAGCCAAGACAGAGGAAGTAAAGAGTGAGAGTGAGAGCGACTGAGAGCGAGAGAGAGAGAGAGAGGTGGTTAGCATTAACACTGAGAGCAAACAGAAAAGGCAACGTGCTCAAATCCTCAAATCAAATCAAAAGATTTTACAGGAGCACGCATGAACGCACATAAAGAGACAGCGACTTATACAGTTATTCTGAGACACTATTACTCACTCATACACACACACGCCCACGGACAGTCAGCGATTTGTTGGGTACAATGACACAGCCTCAAAGCACAATGAGTGCGAGCGAGTGAGCGAGCGAATCTACAAGGGAAAGGGAATCTGAATAAGTAACCAAATTCAATGTCAACAGCTGTTGGCAGTTCTTAAAAGCAAGCACAACAAGTAAGAGCGGTCTAGCTCGAGTCAGCGCGACAATGGGAAACCCTGTAAATTGTTGTTTCTTCAAGAATTGTGCATAACATAGCACAAAGTTAACTCTTAAATGTCTTTGTTAAATTAGAATGTGATACTTGAGTTGGAGTTGGCGGATTTTATGGGATATATGTATGTATATATATATATATATGTATATGAATTTGAGGTCTTTGCACAATGCTCTTGCATTGCGCTTAGTTTCTCAGTTCGTAGTTCGAATTAATTTAATCTTTTACATAGGTCTCCATAAGATCCTTATTCATTGTTATTTGACAATAGAAAGAATATTTAAATATCAAATAGATCTAAATATATATATAAAATGGGCATACTTGATATAGACCATAATAAATATTAATTATTGAATTATTTTTTATTGTTTGAATTATTTTTGAATATATTGAAACTCACATGCAAATAATGTACAAGTGAAATGTGTATTCTTTATATAGACTATACTATATATATATATTATACTCATATTAATTAATACAGATTATATTCATTGAAAATACAGATCATATTAAATGATCAGTTGATATATGTATATACAAGTACTTCGTGAAAGTTATCTAACTGTTTACAATAAAATACAATAATGCAATAAAATATACTTAATATAAAGTATATTATTGGAAAAATATAACTAGATAAGCTTTCTGGAAATCAAACTAGTTCCGTTGAGCAACACTATTCTCACTGTACATAAATTTGCACAAAATTGAACTACCTCATCTGTTTCCCGAGAATAGAGCATAGAAACTTATTGCCTCAAGCAGCTTAAAGTTCGAATTAGCAGAAGAGTCGACTGCGACGGTGACTGCGACTGCGACAGCAACGTTGACGTTGGCGTTTCGCAATTGTCAATGTCGCTTTGGTTCGTCTTCGTTGTCAGGCTTAATGCCTTGCAGCTAGGCTTTTCATTTCGCTCAGCCGCCGCACAATGTCCTGGCTACTTAGCTTCGTCCTTCTAGTTGTCCATCCTTGCTGTCTGAAAACTGCTTTGTGCGCGCACTGAATGAATGAATGGACGAATGAATGGTCAGCAATTGAAAAGGAGCTACCCTATCAGGCCATAGGGTATAATGCTCAACAAGTCGTCGGACATGTGCCAATGGCTCCCGCACCCGCACCCTTAGTCGACGCGTCGTATGTGTGGTATTTAAAGCGCCTTTAAGTCTGCTTTGCGGCAAATGAGCAGCGAGGCGACACGCTCGTCTCGTTACGACTGAAATATGCTTTCAATTAGTTGTAATACATTTGCCATGTGGCAAGCGCCAAGAGCCAAGTGCCCACAGCTTGTGCGATAGGACGGAGGGGCGGGGGTGTTAACCCTGGCCTTTTACTGTGTCGCGGCGCTGTCTGCCCGCAAGGACACATGAACTGGCTGTCGGTTCGTTAGTCTCTGTGAAAGTGTGTGTGTGTGTGTGTGTGTATTTGCATGGGTGTGTTGGCACTCCCTTTGGCTGTTTTTGCAATCTCATGGCAACATTCATACGCATCGTTGGCTTGTCATTCCATTAATATGCTAAACCGCTCACCGTTGCAGCCCACACACAAAATGCAATCGGGAGATGGCGCACCGACCATATCGCTGCAATTGGTGCCAAAAATGTTGGCGCCGCTCGCCAGTCTATGGGTGCCGCACGCTTTTGTGGTGTCCTTCAAGCTGGAAACGGACGAGAACCTATTGATTGTCAAGGCACGCGACAGCCTCAACAAATACAAGCATAAGGTAAGTGCTGTCTATCAGACACGCCAGCAATCCGAGCTGCAATCTCACCACTAATTTTCTCTCATTCTCTCTCTCTCTCTCTCTCTCTATCTCGCTCTCTCTCTTCTGCTTAACCTTTCCGTCCGCAGTTGGTGATTGCCAACGTCCTTCAGACACGCAAGCACCGCGTTGTCTTTGTAACTCCAACAGATTCCTATGAGCTGCATTTGAGTCGCGAGCAGGCGCTGCAGGGCCTGGAAATAGAGGAGCCCATTGTGGCCGATGTGGTAAGTGTGAACGTGCCTAACAACAATGGCAGCAGCTGCCGACTGAACGCGTGCCGTTATTCAATCCGCAGGTGCAGAAACACAGCGACTTCATCAGCAGCGCCCAGCAGCGACAATGACCGTTGTCGATGCGCCGCCGGCAACACCAGCAACAGCAACATCAACAGCACCAGCAGCACCAGCAGCAGTACCGTCAGCTGGCGATTGGCGGCGGCAGCAGCAGCAGCAACGATGACACCGCCGAGGCAACGGACTATTGCGTGACCAGTTCGCATTATTGTCGCGTCCTAAATCCTGGCACGCCAACATTCGGCCGCAAATATTGAGCAGGTTATAGCGCCAAGTCCATTTGCATAGCCCTTACCTCTAAGTTGTAGTTATCTATACTATTTATGGTTAATATCTATCTATTTATGGTCACGCCCTAGTTAGCCCGACCATAATTGATGGAGATGATGGTGGTTAACATGTTTTGTGTTTCATATGTATATTTTGTTTTTGTATTTTTTTTGTACTTTTGTTGTTCATTTATATTTGGCTTATCGTTGCCTGTTTGAAAAATGATGTCACCTACATAACGAATTGTCTCTTCTAAGCTCGAATCCCGTTTTCGTCATTGCTGTCATCAAGCATACGCACCGTGTTGCCCGCATTTTGGCATTAATCTGAGATCATCAATTATCTGTTTTATTTATGCTTGAAAGGGGGCAGAGCATCGCGTAACTACTCTCCCACTTACCCACACACACACACACACACTCAGTCACCCCCGCACACACCCACACAGTGTGCACCTACACTTATGCAACGGCTTCATGAAACAGCAATTTGCAGGCTGGCCCTGGCGGCTGTCGTTTGCAGGCATTGCGACAATTGATTTACAAGCCGTGCATAGCAATAACTACAACAACATAAACAACAACAGCTGCAGCAGGACCTGCCAAATGTCCTTGGCTGTGGAAATTTATAGTGGCGTATACTTAATGCCTTGACGCTTGTCTGGCTCAAGCAGGTCAAGTGGCGTCTAAAGGTCAGTCTCAAATACACAACACAACACACTTAACACACACACACACACAACATGAACTTCTGACAGCTGCCAGCGGCAAATTAAAATTTAATTGGGTAAAAAAAAATGAAAAACAACTAAACAGCCAGCAAGGAAAACTAATTAACGCAGCGCCCGCAAACCGAGGGCCACAACACGGAATACTTGTGTAGCGAGAACAAAGCAGGAACCAACGCAGACAGCACGGACCGTAGACAGTGTCAGAGTACCGCTTGGTCCTTGGGTTTTGTTTTTTGGGTTCTGGGTTTTGGGTTACTCGAGTCTTGTGGCAGCCTTTTTTGCACATGTTTATTGCATGTTCTGTTGCTGGCGCCTTTTATCTACGGTTTTGCCGCCTAATCTACCTGCCTTAACTGTTCCCTGGTTGTGGCGTGTGCGGCCGAAGGTCCAAAGCCGACGCCACTTCCGGCTACATTTTCGGTTTTTGTTTCAGCCCCAAACTAGGCAACAAGAAATTTGTTGTATTTTTTTCTGTTGCTGTCGACTCGTTTGGCAGCTGTAGCGTAATATTTAACAACTTTTCTTCTTCTCCTTAATGCCTGTGCGTGCGTAAGTGTGTGTGTGTGTGTGTGTGATGGTCTGTGCATGTGTGTGTGGGTGTGCTTGAGTGTATAAATGTGCATCAAATTAGATTTTATTGCGTTCACACGTACATCACGCAGATACACTAACATGAATACGTAGAAAGGCAACGCATCGAGGGAAGACCCAATTTATATGCCAGAGGCAACCGTTCCAAATTTATTATTAGCGAGCTCTCTTTGTTCAAGCAACCGTCTCCGGCCTGCCCTCAGTGTTGTCTTACGATCCGCGACGAATGCCCTTGAAAATTGGGGAATTTTGCGACACAGAAATATATATATGTTTTTATCTAAAGCTCTAGGCCTAACATATTGGACACATATGTTTCGACATAAAAAGAATCCTACTTTAAGCTTATGGCCGGCTGCCGTTTTTCGTATTTGCTGGATTGTTTTTATTGCGTACACATCGACACAGTCAAACACACACACACACAGACCTATTCACATATCAAATGGACGCAATTCCTCCAGGCAGTTCTGTATGTTGGCACGCCCCCTTCCCCTTCTAACAGTGACCCCACAGTCTCCTGCTGTTGCGCTGCCTCCGAGTATCGATTGCGCATTTAAAATACGTATAAACATAAAAATTCAGCTCTCAAGTTGAATGACGTACAATGAAATATGTATACGAGGTTTGTGCAGGTAATTAGCCAAGAGTGGGAAAGTGTGCTCATTAGCCAGCTTAGAGGCTATGCTCTGATTAATTTCTAAGTAAGCAAATTCTCAGTTTTCATTGAGTCGCAACTATGGCGAGCGAGCGTCGTACTCATTCAAAGATAAAGAGTTTTTATGTGTATATTATGTAAAGAACTTTTCATATCCGTTTTTTATGACTGAATTCCCATTTCGATATTGAAACTTTGAGAACTTTGTAATATGTTTGTATGTGAATAATGATTTTCTAGAAAGGTTATCGCAAATCCTACTAATAAATTTATGTAAAACGAGTTTACTTAAGGCATCTAATTTAAACTTTCTAAGTATACAAATACAAATATATAGAACAACTTCTGTCCTAATACTTAAATAGATAAGATATGTTTTGAAGAAACTATTACGAATCATCAAAATTCAAATTGTCAGAACAGAAACAGGTTAAAAAAAAAAAAGAGAATATTGTAACCAACAGAAAAAAACGAACCAATTCTTCAGTGTTTTAATATTCTGAGCAATCGGACCAAAAAAATACAAATCAAATAAAAACGAAATAGAGTTTGAAGTATACATATATCAGAAAATATTTTACATTAAATTGATGAATATATATATACACAGCATAATGAAGAACAAATAAATAAATATACTATATACATGTGTGGATTAACATTATAGATAAGTATTTATTAAATAAATCTAACTGTAAACATATACATATATTCTATACAAATTGCAATTTATATCTAATTGTTATTCAACTTGAAAGATGGAATCAAAATTGAAAGAAAAACCTTCGCAGCAATCTATTTATTGTTGAAATCGGCCAAACTTGAAACAAAATAAAATATTTAAACATTGTTAACTTTCCAAACTAATCATAATAACATGAAATCCAACTAAATCTAAAAACAAAAACAAAATTGTAAAACTGTTGTACATTTTGTTTGTTTACGGAAATTTATTGATATATATAACATATATATAAATGTATATCTATGTATGTATGTCTATGAGTCAACATGTGTATAAATTGAATATTCAAAAAATATGTGTAAATATATATAAATATAAATATATATGTATTTATTATGATAATAAATAAAGCTGACGGAACAAATAGCTTTAAATTAAATATGTTTGCGTTTCAATCGGAATTTTCGTGAAAGTTTATATTAATGTAATATATTTATAGCATATCTACATATGTAACAACTTATTATAAAACATATTCAACTGGAAGAAACTCGTTTTTATATTGCATTGGGTTAGGATTGCCTATATATCTCACATTTAAAGATAAAAGATCTACAATACATATGCTTGTTAATTTATTAAGTCACCACATTTATGTTGCACTCAATATACTTACTCTCCTTTAATATAGAACATCATTCAAGTATATTTAATTACATATGTAATTTACTGACGCTGTCGGGTAGCACTCTCAGTCTCATTTCGCCAGTTGAGCAGAGAAAAGGTCGAGCAGAGCGATTATACGATTCATAAATAAGGGCCGTTCTTCTTATCGCTGTTAAAATGCGCTCTCATACAGATATTCGAGTTGAGTTATTATTAATATATGTTTTCGTTGGAATCACTCTGTTCCGCAAACACGTTCATGGTGATAAACAGGTTGATAACTTGCACAATATTCACGATTTTGAGTGTATTTTTCTGGACTACATCAAGGAATCCGGCCTAAACTGCAGCTTTACCCGGCCAATAGAGAGCAGTTCCAATACCAACTATCGTCTGCAACATCTCTCAGTCGACAAGCTCTGCCAGCGGTCCGACCTCTCTTCCGATCGTATAGAGTGCAACTTTCGATCCGAAGACTTTAATAAGTTCCGAAATCAGTTAAACTTTACGCTTCGCATAGAGGATGAAACGGGCAGTCGAACAGAGAACATCTCTATTGATAGAGGGGAGTGCATGGTGCTGGAACCACCCGGCCGAGACGTAGTCGAACTCAACAAAACCTCGAATTCAATATGCCTGCAATGGCCAAATAAGAGATTCGATAATCACAACTACGGCGTCGCCTGGGACTATCAGCTGAAGCCCCATGTCAGTTTGGCATGGCAGGATCCTCACTATGCCAGACTCATGGAAACCTTTTGCCTTAACGGCTTGCCTGATGCCAATCAGGAGTACGAGCTGCGCATGCGACGTCGCATTAATGCTGTCCACGCCCACTGGAGCGATTACTTCACATATCATTTTCGAACACAACTCAAATCCAGCCATTCTTCAGAGTCAGCAAAACTCTCTCCAATAATCATTTTAGTCGCGATTATGGTCAGCTTAAATTTGATTGTGTAAACTAAGGTAATATACTGATTAGCATGTAAAAACAAATTATTTTATTTTTAAAACGAAATTGATAAGCTTAAATGACGCCAGGGCTGCGTTCTCTAATTTTGCTTATTCATTTTTCGCAAGTCTTTTTTTCTTCCAGTCTTAAAGCTATCATCTTATAGATGTTATAATACATACATATATAATATAATGAATAAAATATTGATATCGGAAAAATATCACATATGACAGATATTTTTTTTGACACATCTTTTTTAATTAATATTTTTTTTTTTTTTTTTTAATTACAATTTAATTAGGAAATACATAGTTATTGAATATACTACTATATTAGCACTGTGATCTGTCATTCCTCACCACAGTATCCCAAACAAACCACCAATATAAGATACCTTGAAAGTTATTATTTATAGATATAATCGATATTATATATAGATATAAAACAAAGTTGTGTTTGTTACAAGTCTTATAACTCGAGATTTGTTGTTTTTGATTTGTTGGTTTTGTCCCCCCGAATAGCGCTATCCCTAAAAGTCCTTTAATTTCTGAGCTGTCTTTGCATTGTCATTTAGAAATTTGGATAAAAGCGACAGTTTTCGGTCATGCACTCACGTAATACATTTTATTAATACGTGAACGTGAATACATATTGTTTTTGTACTTATCAGTTAATGTGGCGTAGGTACTGTTATGTATGTTTTAGACACTAATTTGTGTAAATTATTTATTAAATTAAAGACTTATTCCCATCAAACCCACGTGGGCCTGTGGAACCAATACAAAGACAACATGTCAGAAGATATTTTATATCGAATTCGTGTCAGCTCAAGAAATCCCGATCTTGAGGCGAATCAGCAGTTGCATAACTAGGCCTTGCTCTTGATCGAAGATATGTCTTACCTCATATGCGGCAGTTTGTTAGTTAGGTTAGGAATGCCAGCGTCAGATTGCGGAATAAATGTCGCATTTAATCGAGAATTGGAATGTGAACGTGAATATGATCCACATGAACTAATGCAATCGGTTCAAACGAATATACCACTATTGAATCCTAAGTAAATGATACGATGATTAATGCAAATGATGACGGAAATGGTAGCTTATTTTTTGTTTATGCCCCCGGTGGCCACTGAACCTGCGAGATCCGAAATTGTGGTAGAAATTGCTTCTGGAATAGCGGCCACATTGTTAGACGGTTGTACGTCTCATTCAGCGTTAAAATTGCCATTAAATCTTCAAAATACAGAACACTCTGCAATGGCCAACGTTTTAGTAGCATCAAATATTATCATATGGGACGAATGCACAATAGCGCACAAACGCGCATTGGAAGCACTAGACCGAGCATTAAAAGATCTGCGCAATGACTCGAGAGGTTTTGGTGGTTCAATGATTTTATTATCTGGCGAATTTCGACGAACACTACCAGTAATTCCAAGATCTACTGCTGCCGACAAATTAAATCTGTGGCGAAATGTAAAAAAAAAAAAACTTCAACTGTCTGTAAATATGAGAGTTGAATCAATTGCTGAATATCGGCAATGGCCGTGCTCCTGTTGACGAATCGTGCGGTTTGATTTCCATTCCTCCAAATTCTAAATGGTTAAGTGAGCGAGCAATTTCGACGGCTAAAAATAAAGATGTAGATGACCTCAATTTTATAATTCAAAGTCGTAGGTACTCTGTATTTATTCAAATCTATCGACTGTTTTATTTTATAATACATATTTTACATTGGACACAATCTCTCCATTGCTGTCTATAAAAAAACTATCGAGAGATTTTAAAGTATTTCTAAGGGTATTTATAACTTTGTTTACGGCGATTTTAATGAGTTCGCAAATTTGTTGTCTTTGATAAGTTCAAGAACAGAATTAACTGACCTCATATAATATTACTTTGTCCGATAAAGGCTTTCTGTTATCGCTATTTCGCTTGATAAGATTATGATTTGTTGTTACTTGGCAAGCTTTGAGAATATTATTGACTTAGTGCTTGAGAATATTATTGACTTAGTGCTTACAAATTATGAAGAAGACTGAGCGTCTGATTATTTTGTTATCTAAAGTCAGGATTGATAAGATAAGCTCATATTAACAATAATTAGTAAAAAACTTATAAATGTTAGTGATGAACGTACAGGCGACAAGCAAATTTAAATTTAAATTAAATAGTGATAAAATGTAAATATATATATATAAATAGTTAAGATGATTAGAGAGAAAGCGAAGGACAGTGAGCAGAACTTATATGCTAGCCAATCTTCGTTTGTTTTAAACTAATGAACTAAACAACACACAAAATCACGCAATCCGCTTCCTGCGTAAATAATCCTGCGTAAATAATCTATCAATGATAGTGATGTGGAGTAATTGACCAACTGAAGAGGTTTTGACACTTGAAACTATAGTTAAACCAATGCATCTGCGGTAACCGATATATTATTAACTCTGGGGAATTACCAATAGGAGAAATCAGTTATCCATGTTGGTTTATGTAACATTCTCATATTTACATATCGTTTCATACAAAATTTAAAATACAAATTTATTGGTCCTTAAGTACAGTTGAAAAGCATTTGGAAAGGGGACTAGCCCATATATACATATATGTATGTTTTGTTTTTCTTTTTTTTGGCCCTTTAATATTATTTCACTCTTATATACTATAATATAAGAATGCCTGTGCTGAATTTTAATTGCTTATACATGAACATAGATCTAGAGTCATTGCATCCACGGCTGTTCATCAACAAGTTTTAGTTTTTCAGATCCGTAAACTTAAACTTGAGTGGTATATTTGGTTTGTTAATGAGCACTGATCGGAATGCATTCTCCGTGGAATGATTAAACTCGATCTTAAAGTTTCTCAACAGCCTGCATATGCCAAGCTCGATTTCCATGTCCACAATGCGTTTGCCTACGCACATGCGGGGACCAAAGCCGAAGGGCAGAAATACGAAAGGATTTGTGATCTTTAGAGAGTTCGCCGGGCACTTGCCCTCCGCGCTGGTCTCACTGCGCATCCAGCGCTCGGGTAGATACTCCGAGGCGCGCGGGAAGTACTGATCGTTCTTCAAGCAGATCAGGGGAATCATGGAGACAAATGTGCCCGCGGGCACCCTATAGCCACTCAGAATACAGTCACGATTTGTAGTACGGCCCTGGCCAACAACGAGGGGCATCAATCGCTGCGATTCCTTGAGGCATGCGCGCAAGTAGGGCACATTCTTCATGGACTCCTCTGTGAACTCGGAGTCTTTATTGGGCAGCACGCGCATCGCTTCCTCACGCAGCTTCTCCTGCTTGTCTGGGTTTTTGGCAAGGCACAGCATCAGTGCGGAAAATGTGGTGGAAGTCTATGGAATATTTCCATTAAAGTAAATTTGTTCAGATTTACTTTAATCTACCTACCGTATCAACGCCAGCCATGAGCATGTCCATGGCCATGACTATGGCCACCTTCTTGTCAATCTTCAGCAACTTCTCGAGCACGCTCTGTTCATTTTCGGGACGCACTATTCCACGCTGGGCCTCTGCATTCAGTCGCTCCAGAGCTTCATTCACATAGGCCGAGGTCACTTTCTGTATGTTGTCGTACGCATTCAGCAGCCTCTTGAATTGTGACGTATGGAAGTACCTCCACACCGAGGGCTGCATCTCGTAAATGGCACCCAACGTCAAGAAGTCATCCATGCTCTTGAAGAGCAGCCGGGCGTTTTCATCATTGTGCGAGTCCTTGAGTAGGCCGAGCTGCTTGTCCAGTGCAACCACGGAGACCGATTCTAAGGTCCAGCAATTAATATACTCCAAAAAATTGTCTGGCACCTCAAGCGTGTTGGGATCTCGGATGGCCTTAATGCTGGGGTAATCATACAAGCATAAATATATTGAAGTGAGGGATTATAATTATCTGTTTACCGATCGACAAACTCGCAGTTGACCTGGGACATCTTCTTGTAGTAGAGCCTCACATTCTTCGGCTTCATGAGCACGGGATTCACAATACTGCGGAACTCGCCCCATACCTTGCCTTGGGTGGGAATGAGTCCTTCGACGCCATCAAAGAAATCCCTGCGGAACTCCTCACGATGGTATCTTAACGTATCGCTGCCAGGTCTATGAGGCCACACGCCTTCGTTCCGATAGACGACCTCGAAATCCTTTGGATTATAGGTAGTGAGCACGGGATCGCTGCCAAAAATCGAGGGCATGCGGAAAATGTCGCCATAATCGTCGCGCATTGCCAACACCTGCTGTGACATGTCCAGATTTTTATATTTGCCGCCGGGAAATGCCATGTTGAAGGTCAACGCGATGGGATTGGCACAAGGTATCTCCTCGAAGGGACGTGCCTGCTGCCATTCTACGTCATCTCTAGCAACGCTTGACTCCTTGACCGCGGCTGCTGTGCTTTGATAACGCTAGTGAGAAAGGGCTGATAAGGAATGCTATCTAAATTCATACAACGTATCTCACATTCACCTGTTGCGTGCTGGAAAATACTCCTAAAGCTTCGGCCACTTTTTGGGCCTGATTTATGGCTAGGTAATTGCGCACTTTCAACATTTTGCTTCTGGCCGCGTTCCTCAACTGCTTGCCTCCAAAACTCAACTAACTGTTTGCATTTTGATCTCTTAATGAAAACAGCTCGAAAGCAACACAGCACAACAATGAAAAGCTTTCCGAGCTTTCAAACAGCGTCTAATAAAAAGTAAACAGACCAATTGAATTTGATCTGACGAGCTTTATGGTTGTTCTCTTTCGAATTTTGAACTTGCTTTTGTTTACAAATTCATTGTATGAATATATTCAATGTACCCGACTTGAATATAATAATCTGAAATGCTTGATATGCTTATGGGATATCGCATATTAATTAATTACGTTTAGAAACCAAAAACATGTTTTTAAGAATATATTTAAATAGATACATATATGCATACAGATATACATATATGTTATATTATATATAAGCACACAACTCAAAAGCTTTTACTTACTGATAGTATAATTATTTATATAAAATTATAGTATATAAAAAAGGAATATTATCAATTCTTAGTTTTAATTAATTTAAATTGTTTATTAATAATTTTTTAAAATTTGTTTAACATTTATCTGAATAAGATAATCACTATAATATATTGCATATTTGGGAAAAATTCGAATTATTATTTATACAATTCAATCGATTCAGTTGTTTATCAATAATTATTTAGATTAATAAATATTTAGAATATATTTTATCTAACTAAAAACTGCGAGCTAAACTAAATTCCTTAAAGTAATGGCATTATCCAATTATTATAAATATTTATACAAACTTTTTCCTTAGCATACCTATCTGATTCCAATACTTAAATCGCCAGAAAACTACGCCTAAAGTCAATGTCACATGAATTGCGATAACGCCCAATTTTGCGATTGCTCATTTGTCGAAACCGGCGCATCGCTTCGTGTATTTCCTGCACACTTATGGGCTTGACCACCTCCATGCCGCGGCCCTGGGTTACCTCTGGACAGACATGCATCATAGAAGGACTGCCGCCGGCAGAGGTAACGCGGCTATAGGGTTCCGTGATGCGGTTATCTGAGTTCAAGCGGGTCAGGATCGAGTAGTCCACAATCGCCGCAATGGTCTCGTGGGCCAGATAGGCCAAGATGTTCATCGTTGGTGTCGGTATGCGCAGATCGGCGGGTAAATCCAGAAATCTTCTGAACTTATTCTTGATTTTCTCGCCATGACGACAGTAGAACGAAGTTTTTCGCGCTTCATTAAATTCTAGATACTGCTGACCCGTAAGTATTTGGGAAATGCGATCCGCACGAAACAAACGACGCATGCGATCCTCGTCATGTAGCTCTTGCACCTCGATGGCCAGCTCTTCGTCCTCGTCTGGCTGCTCCAGATCGTCCATAAAGTCCTGCGGCCTGCCAGTGCGTATGCTCAGAAAGCGCTTCAATATACGCATGTCCTTTAAGTGTTTTCGCATTCGCGCTATCTTTACGGGATGGTTTCGCATCAGGAACTCGAAGTCCGCTTGTGACGGGCAGGGATTCTGTTTTCGGCGCATAGCCACCAAAGAGGCTTCGTTGAATATTCCACGTAGCTGCTGCTGTAGTATCTGCTCCACCAGCTTCACGCTGGCAGTTCGTGGCTGATCGCTGTCTCCAAAGCTTCGCATTATATCCGCAATTTCCGTGAGGAGCGAGACGGGCGCATCATCCGCAATTTGGGCGGCTGCCATACTTGCATTTTGGGTTTGATTTTGATTTTGGTTAGCAGCTGAAGCTGTTACGTTCTGCAGCTGCTGAGTTTGCGGCACGTTGCCACTCTGCACCAATATCACCTGGCGATGGACGTGCATAGGTTTGTTGTCCTCGAGATTCTGTAACTGAGGTGTGCCGGCTGCAGATGTTGTCGATGCCATAATAGGTGAGGCGACGCCTATCACATCACTAGCTGCAACGGACACTGAATTTTGGCGCATTACGCGCTTCGCTTGATAATTCATTATATTGCAGAACAAATAATGAGTCCAGTTTGTAAAAAATCCTGTTGCGACACAGGATTGTATATAAACATTGTATAAGAAAAATGAACTACACGAACAATGTAAAAGTAACTAGTTCATTGGCAGGGCTGCAATAATGAACCAAAGTAAGTGAATGAAGTGAATTGTACAGCAGTATATTTTTCTTGGCAAGTATTTATTTTCTGATGACATCTAAGTTCAAATTTGTACATTTTTTCTATGTATTTATTTTTGTATATATTCGGTGAATAGTAAACCCTTATTAAAGTGCGCACATGAAAATTTTCGGTCATGGGATTTCATTAATCGTAGTATTGTGAGGTGACACTAACCAAACATAATATAAGAGCAAAATGACGTGTCATCCACCATAATGAAGTATTTTTTAATGAACTATATTCAGTAAATCATTTATTCAAACTTAAGTTATCGGCCCAAACTGCTATCATTAATCGATTGTCGCGCACCACCATTTTTGTTTGGACAATGGAGAATAACCACTGAAAATTATTTAAAGTAATAATAGTAATAAAATCAAATTGACCGCCGCAAAAATGTTCAATGGCATGGTGAAGACCATACGTGATAGCATTGTGGGCACATACCCATCCTGTCATGTGAATTCGCGACTGGAAGAGCGTCGGGCTAAGCAAAGAGCGATGAGACAGGAACGGAGGCGGAAGCCAGACAAACCAGACGATTTCGTGACCTATGAGGATTCTGGCAGCGATGAGGAGACGCCACAGCAGCAGGACGAGGTCCTCAATACTTCCTATAACTTGTGCGACTATCTGCGAAGCAGAGAGAATTCATTGCGCGATGTGAGACTACCTAAAGTTTGTAGCTGCCATTGACTAATGCAGCTCTTTATTTTTATAGCGTCGCAGTGTCAATGCCGAGTATACCAGTCGCTATGTGCTCACACACGACATGTTGCGCGAGACGCAAATTAGTTTAGGTTACATTAACAAGGTATTCTGCTCCAAATGGCTGAGCAACCGCCAGGTGGTGTTCGGCACCAAGTGCAATAAGCTGCTCGTCTATGACGTCAATATGCGTCGAGTTGATGCTATTCCAACACTTTCCAATAGTCGTGCCAATCATCCAGAGATCCAAGGAGGCCTGCATGCAATAGAGCTGTCGCCCAGTCGATCATTTTTAGCCACAGGTGCACGCAATTCTTCCGACATTGCTGTATATCGCTTGCCAACTCTGGATCCGGTTTGTGTGGGAGAGAACGGGCATCGGGACTTGATAATGGGCATGTGCTGGTTGGATGATCAGTTTCTTGTCTCGGGCTCCAAAGACTCCCGTATGGCCCTATGGCGCATCAACGAAGATCACATGGACTTTCCAGACGGTGGTGAGGAATCTTGCCCCACGTTTGCCACCATACATCCACTCAGTGTTAAGGAAGTGCGCACCGCACAACGAGTGAGACAAATATATATATACATGTATATGTATATAGGACAATTTCATATATTAACATTTATTTGAATTTTTAGATACGCTCGCTGTGCTTCAATAAAGAGTTTAAAGAGATCGCAGCTCTTTCCTTAAATGGGTATATACACATCTTCAATGCAGAGACCTTTAAGCAAACACTTTCGCGCAAGCTACCCAACTGCCAGGACAATGTGAGCATTGCTTATCATAGCGATGGACTCTACGCAGTCGGCTGTCGCTCGTATACCATATTGCTGGACGCCCGAACGCTGCAGACGATCAAAAAGATCACATCCCGATATAGCGGCTGTGGCATTCGCGCCACATCCTTTGAAGGCAATCTGTTAACTGTGGGCACCGGCCTTGGAATGTTGCTATTTTACGATATTCGAGCTGGCAAGTACTTGGAGAGTAGCGTAAACGCTTCGCGAACCGTGGCGCTCAAGTGCAGTAAAGGAATTGTGGTAAGCATTAATGAGTAATACATATAAAGAAGTTAAATGCATTTAATTGCATTACTCTTTCAGTATCCGGAAGATGAGATGGATGGGTTTCAGCAGGTGAAATACGTGCCGGCCATTTATACGCACTGCTATGATAGCACACGGATGCGACTATTTGCGGCGGGTGGTCCCCTCCCTGCCACACTAGTTGGAAACTATGCGGGAGTATGGCAATAGCTCCACAGTACTATCTCAAAACTGATTAGTACGAGTATTTAGGAAATAGTATATTTTGTTTTTAGCCTTGTCGCTATCGCGGCAGCGATGTGCGAAATGTGATTTTTGATTTCTCTGCTGATTTTAACTTTTTAAAGTTTAGTTATATCAATTGTATAATCATTGTGTTCGATTCATACAATTAATAAGTGTAAATGTATGCAAAAAGTCGCATAGGTTTAGCCAATTACAGCTCGTATTTATAAAGTCTATAGATTATACACTCAATATTCATAATTGATTTATAAGTTTACAGATATACACGAATTGCAAGCATTGATTTTATAGTCTGATCTTAATGGTAATAGAATTTGAAATTAAACTATCTACAAATGCAATTTGCATAACTAAATATACTTACCATTGTTATAATTATTCATCCTCCTTTTTGATATTTAGCATTTGCGCTCATAAAAAACCAATTTCATTTCTGTTTTTAAAATACATATGTATATTGCTTATAGAGAACTGTATAGGGCGCTCTATGGAATATGCATATTTATAAAGGACAGGACTAAATCTGAAGCTCAACAGAATCGATTAGAATGTACATAAATACAATTTTGGTGACAATAATCATATACAAGATTTACACAACGTAGTACACACATACAGATTAACTAGCCAATAACAGCTGTTCCGACTCCCTTGATAAGTAAGTATAATACCAATAAAACCAAATTACCAAAACGACGGCTAATTGTTATTGTTGGTACTGGCCGAATTGCCTCCTCCACTCCACGCACTCAGAAATCCAGTCCAGCTGCGATTGCTACCATCTGTGGAAACTAAGATAAACGTAAAATAAGTAAGCATTCTGGTTATTCAAAAACTGCATTACCTTTCTGTCCCTTGGCAACGCAGTTAAGCATTTCCACCTCGCTGCGACTCAAGCGTAGAATCGTGTTAAGCACGGGCACTAAGCGTTGTCGCTCATCGGAATTGGACAATGTAATAAACTGAATGAGAACAAGTGTATATAATAGACTGGATAATATGGATCAATATGAATAGTAGCTTACCTTTAGGAATACGTTTTTCAGATATTCTGAATTGTGCATGTGCTGTTCCCGCTCTTCAGATCGTTCCTGACGACGAAGTTCCTCTTTCAGCATATCATTCATTTGCGTCAGTTTGGCTAGATCCTGCTCATTCTCGGCCAGTAAGGTGGTCAGATGACGGATGCGGCTTTCCTGTATGCTTAAACGCTCTTTGGTGGCGGCAAGTGCCGCTTGAGTTTCACTATGCCCATCCAACTCTAGGTCATCATCCTGCATGCTAACGCTGCGTCCAAAGTTAGAAATTGTCGTGACCTGATCGCTATTTATGGCATTGAGGGATGTATTCAGCAGCTCATCCAGGGGCATAAAGTCGTGCGAGCGACGTGAGGCAGTTGAAATTTTGCGCTGTGCTGCCAGCTGTGCAAGTGTTTCACCGCTGGAGTCGTGATCCAACAGGAAATCAATTTTGCTCTGCTCTGGGCTGGTGGACTCGAGGGTCGCTGTTGCCGGCACAGGCGCTGGTGCGGCAGTCGTATTGGTGGTTATTGCTTTTTCGAGCTGTTCGACCTGTTGCTGCAGCTGCGCAACACGCATCTGGTGCACATCATCCATTTGCTCTATCTGTAGGCGATGTTGCACCAGTTGCTGCTGCTGCAGCTGTAGCTGTCGCTGATTCTCTTGCGTGAGTGCCTCATTTTGAGATTTCAATTCATCGATCACGGCCAGGAGCTCCTTACTGCGCTCTAGCAGATGTGTGTTGTCGCTCTGCAGATCTTTCAGCTGAGATTCGAGCTGACTGATTCGCAGCGTACTCGCATCCCTGCTTTCGCGCAGTTTCTCTTCATTCGCTCGCATTGCGGCCAATTCTGCCTCGAGGTATTGTTCTTTATCTGAATCCCGGTTCTGCTGTTTCCTCAGCACCGCCTGTGCTTTAAGCTTGTACTCCGAGTACTCCGTGCGAAGCTGTTCATTGGCCCGTTCGGCTTGGCGCAAGGCTGCCTCCAGTTGGGTAAGCGCATCTTGTCGAGCTTCCAGCTGTTGCATGCTGTTGTTCAGCAGTTCCTGGGAATGTTTGAGCTTGTTCTCGTATTGCTGGGTGCACTCAGCTAGCTGCAGTCGAATTTCATCCACCTGCAACTTTTGCTGCTCCAGACTCTGCTCAAGCTCCTTTTTGCCGAACAACGCCTCCTGCCTGCCGTGCACAGCGTCCTTCAGTTGTGCCTGCATTCTATCGATTTCCTGCTTCAATTGCTTGCAATGTGTTGCCTCCCCATCTTGCGCCTGCTCCAATATGCTTATCTCCTGGCGAAGCTGCGTAATAGTATTCTCCTTACTGACAAGCGTTTCTCTGAGCGCTTCCAGATCTGTGCTCTTGGCCAACAGTTTTGCACTCACTTCAGATAGTGATTTCTCGGCGGCCTCAATTTCCAGGTTCAACACATTCGAACTCTTTGACTTGTCCTTGGATTTGAGCTTCTGGTTCTCAGCGCGTGCTGCATTCAAGTCCTGCTGAAGCTGCACCTGAGCTAATTTAATAGCCTCCACTTCAGCCTCTAATTTGGCTGCTCCAGCTTGCTCCATGTTTTGAATTTGTTGTGTTTGCTCCTGTAGCTTCTTTTTTAACTTCACGGCCAACGAACGAAGCTTATTGTATTTATCCTCGTAGCCATCGTCGAGTTCGCGCAAGCGGTTCAATTCCTCGGCGCGTGATATTGTGGATGTGGACAGCACATCGCTCTGGGCATCCCCATTCATGTGCTCATGCTGCTCCATTTCGTCAATTCTGCTCTGCAGTTGCTCTAGTTGCTTTGACTTTTCAGTTAGATTTTCTGTTAGAGTTTGCAGCTCCTTGCGACACTTGTCGTGCTGCTCCTGCATACGTGAGATGACATCTCCTCGCGCCTTTAACGCCTCGTTTAGCTCACGCATCTCGGCCAGCAACTCAGTATGTTCGTTTTCCTTCAGCTGGTATCGCGTCTGCAAATCTTCATTTTGCTGACGCAGCTCTACATATTTTGTCTCCAGTTCCGCATTCTCCCGCTCATGTTGCTGCTTCATTGCCTTCATTGCGCATTCCTGTTCGCGGCGCTCCTCTTGCACTACTTGAGACAGGCGTTGCATTTGATTTAGTTTTTCCGTAAAGTATACTGAATTAAACGCGCTGACAGGTTGCACTGATTGTTGCGAGATCTGCTGTCCTTTGATGATGCTCGTCAGCTGTTCCACGCGACTCAACTTGGAGAGCACACGATCAATGTCTAGTGTATTGTGTGGAAGCTGATTTTGTTGCTGAGTGTGTTGTTTTTGCGGCTGCTGTTGCTCCCTTATTACCTCCAGTTCATATACTTTCTGCAGTAACCGATTATTATTGCCCGAAACCTGGTTGATTGGTTGAGCTGCCTGCAGTCGTTCCTTTAGTTGTGTATTCTCTTGTTGCAAGGAGTTCATTTTGGCACACAAGAGCTGCGATGCCTTAATAATCTCTTGCTGCCACTTGGACACTGATGCAGCATATTCGTGCTGTGTTTCGAGCAGAACGCACTTGCATTCCTTCAGGTTCTTGAGCTTGCGGTGCACATCTATAAACCTATCTTTAAGTGAATTGAACTTCTTGCGCTGGTCCGAGTTTATTTGCTTGACCGAATCATATTTTTGTTGCAGTTCCTCAAGTTCAGTGGCCCGTTGTTTTGCCTCCTCTGTTGCACTCTCGATCTGTTGTCTTAGATTAACACTTTGCGCCTCAGCTTCTTTCATTTTAGCAATATCCAATTCGAGCAGTTCAAGGTTCTTGCGCTGTTCGGCGCCCAGTGCATTGACTTGTTGCATGGCCTGCTCCATGCGCTCGATGTCCGCTAGCAGACCATCATTTTCATCGCTCAAGCGCCCCAGCTGACGTTTCAGGCTCTCATTTTCGATTTCATATTGTTGCAATCGATCTGCATCCTCTTTGGTCTTGCGCTGTAGGGAGCTCAGCTGTTCAGTTAAAATGAGGTTCTTGTCGGTGAAATCCTGCAGCATCTCTTGCATTGCTGGGAGACTGCTCTGCTTGGCAGCTGCCTTGGCTAATGCGTCCTTCAGCTGCCGATTTTCTTCAACGAGCTCTACTCATGAGAATAGCAAATAATTAATAACATGTACAACGTGTCTCATGATTTATTTACCATCTTTGGCTTGCTTCGCTTTCTTGGCAATTCCAAGTAGTCCCTTGTATTTGCTGATGAGTTCATCTTTACTTAGAGCTTCGATTGGATTCTTCTGCAAACATACAAAAATACATTCATGACCGAACATATATACATATATATGTAGTTGAAACGTCATTGTTTTGCTTTCGTTGCTCGTTCGTTGAAGCTTAAAGTTGTGGGCAATCACATACCTGAGTCTCCCTACTTGATGTGTCCATATTCAATGTTACCTTTCTGCTGTCTTAAAGACGAACAAACAGACTTTCATGTGCTGTCTTTATCTATTTTCTACCGTCTTAAATAATTGTACCAAATAAAACTTGAACAACTTGTCAGATGTGTAAATAACCGATTAGCGATAGACTCTTTACCTATCGCAAATAGCGATTGGTATGATGAGTTGTTATTTCAAACGATGATCGTTAAGTGTTTGTACATTCTGAAAGCTGACACATCATCTATTAAAACTATATGTTAAGGTCATATTCACATTTATTAGGTAGACAAAATGCATATTAAATATTATATGGCTTAACGATTGCTTTCAGTTTTAAAAATACCCATCACTAATCGGCGAATAATTAAATCAGCTGACTGCACAACATTCTATTGTAAAATTCAAACAATTTTAAGTTTTTTTTTTTGGGTTGAGTATAGAGTCATCAACATGATCTTTTGATCCTTTTTTTTCGTAATGAAAATACTTTTAAAACAACAATTGATTTTATTTATTCATCATCACACGTACACCTTTTTGAGCATTTGCTTGAAAATCAACGATGTATCGGAGCGTTCACAGTGACTGAAGGAACCATCGTTATTCTGCTCATCCCTAACGATTTAATATTTTGGTATTTTTAGAAGTATTTTGTTGCAAGTGGACTAGTGTTTGGTTGTTGCTGCTGGCAGATGAGCCT